TTACCAAAGCTGCTTTTTATATCTACTAGTGGGTAAACGAATTTTTAGATATATTACGACTTTTCTTGGAACTTTAGTTTCGGAGATATAAATTTAATCGGACCTTTTTAAGAAAATTAATTTTATTTTTCAGAAACTATTTGAGACAGAGTTTACCAAAAATGCTTTTTATATCTACTAGTGGGTAAATGAATTTGTAGAGTTTACCAAAAATGCTTTTTTTATCTACTAGTGGGTAAATGAATTTCTAGATATATTACGAATTTTTTTGGAACTTTAGTTTCGGAGATATAAATTTAATCGGACCTTTTTAAAAAAATTAATTTTATTTTTCAGAAACTATTTGAGACAGAGTTTACCAAAAATGCTTTTTATATCTACTAGTGGGTAAATGAATTTGTAGATATATTACGACTTTCTTGGAACTTTAGTTTCGGAGATATAAATTTAATAGGACCTTTTTAAGAAAATTAATTTTATTTTTCAGAAACTATTTGAGACAGAGTTTACCAAAAATGCTTTTTATATCTACTAGTGGGTAAATGAATTTGTAGATATATTACGACTTTTCTTGGAACTTTAGTTTCGGAAATATAAATTTAATCAGACCTTTTTAAGAAAATTAATTTTATTTTTCAGAAACTATTTAAGACAGAGTTTACCAGAAATGCTTTTTATATCTACTAGTGGGTAAATGAATTTGTAGTATATTACGACTTTTCTTGGAACTTTCGTTTCGGAGATACAAATTTAATCGGACCTTTTTAAGAAAATGAATTTTATTTTTTAGAAACTATTTGAGACAGAGAGACTATTTGAGACCAAACCAAAAATGCTTTTTATATCTACTAGTGGGTAAATGAATTTGTAGGTATATTACGACTTTTCTTGGAACTTTAGTTTCGGAGATATAAATTTAATCGGACCTTTTAAAGAAAATTAATTTTATTTTTCAGAAACTATTTGAGACAGAGTTTACCAAAAATGCTTTTTATATCTACTAGTGGGTAAATGAATTTGTAGATATATTACGACTTTTCTTGGAACTTTAGTTTCGGAGATATAAATTTAATAGGACCTTTTTAAGAAAATTAATTTTATTTTTCAGAAACTATTTGAGACAGAGTTTACCAAAAATGCTTTTTATATCTACTAGTGGGTAAATGAATTTGTAGATATATTACGACTTTTCTTGGAACTTTAGTTTCGGAAATATAAATTTAATCGGACCTTTTCAAGAAAATTAATTTTATTTTTCAGAAACTATTTAAGACAGAGTTTACCAGAAATGCTTTTTATATCTACTAGTGGGTAAATGAATTTGTAGATATATTACGACTTTTCTTGGAAGTTTAGTTTCCGAGATATTAATTTAATCGGACCTTTTTAAGAAAATTAATTTTATTTTTCAGAAACTATTTGAGACAGAGTTTACCAAAAATGCTTTTTATATCTGCTAGTGGGTAAATGAATTTGTAGATATATTACGACCTTTCTTGGAACTTTAGTTTCGGAGATATAAATTCAATCGGACCCTTTTAAGAAAATTAATTTTACTTTTCAGAAACTATTTGAGACAGAGTTTACCAAAAGTGCTTTTTATATCTACTAGTGGGTAAATGAATTTGTAGATATATTACGACTTTTCTTGGAACTTTAGTTTCCGAGATATAAATTTAATCGGACCTTTTTAAGAAAATTAATTTTATTTTTCAGAAACTATTTGAGACAGAGTTTACCAAAAATTGCTAACATGGTTAGTGAAACGCGCGTTCAGTGTAAAAGTGAAAGTGTTTTGGTGTATTGTGGTGATTTGGTGTTTTCATTTTGCAATTATTATATAATTAATTATTATTTATATGAATTATCTATTTTTTTGTAACGAGATTCATCGGTTCCAACAAAATTTCCTGTCTTTATATGTAACAAAACTATGCTAACTTAATTCTAGTTGCAGTTATAATTAGGAATGGGCAATAATGGATTTTACCTATCGATAAGTATCGCAATTCACCTATCGATATATTTTAGTTATCAATATATCGATAACTATCGAAAACTCGGTATATAAATACCTATATCGAATTACCGATAGTTATTGGTTTTTCGATAAATTGAACACACCTATTGTTATTCGATATATCGAGAACTATTGATAGTTTTCGATATAGGGAAAAAACTAAATCCTAATCGTAAATATCTAATATAAAAAGTGACCTTATATAATTTTAAGGACAACTGAGAATAAAAATATTAAAAATATATTATTTAATATAACAATTTTGAAATGTTACTAATATTCAGATTTTAAAAGATGTAAATTACATACTAAGAAAAATAAATTTTAATATACAGGGTACAGGGTGGTCCGAATTGTATTCCAGGTTTAATATGTTTAAAGCTTTGGTTTTTGAGATAATTAAATATATTTAAAAATGGGCAAGCTATAATAAAAAAGTTTATCAACACCCTGTACATTACTTTTCAGAATTAATTATTGTGCTGACTTTTAAGCCAGAAAAATAAACTTTACTAAAAAATTTGATTGCTTCCTTAAAAAAATTGCTGGTCTATTTTAAATATTTATTTAACATAAAAACTTCGTTATTTCAAATACAACCCTCTGTATTTTTTATAATAACTCGAAGCACATTTAAATGCTCTTTAAAACTATATTTTCCTATACCTATAAAGCGATTTTTCAATAAAATGGCAATGAAGATGGCTAGTGTCGTCATGGCAATTTTATAGTGACAGTTAGTCGCTATTTTCAAAATCGACATTAGTTTATGGAGTTTATTTAAATTTATAACAGTTTACTTTTATTTAATCTACCTACAATAGTTTAATAAGTAAGTATTTATTATTTTATCAAGAAACACAAAGAAGTATTCTTTGATGACTTGCGATGACTTGTAGATATATTGGATTTTCTATAAAAGAACCTATTAAGGCAAATTTATTTTCTTCACTTCCAAATACAGATTTCTGCCTAATAGGTTCTGCAAAATAGGAATAGTAGTTTTTCAAATCAACGCTTGTCAAGAAAATTTCTATTTGAACATCTTTGAGCATAAATCCTTCGGCCAACAAGCAATTTTACTCACAAAATAAAATCACTAGTACCATATCCATTCCTTCTGTTAGCAAATACTGTTTATTATTAATATTATCATTTTACCGTTTAATTCTGTAAAAAAATGTGAAATTTTTAACTACTAATTTCAAATGTATTTAATTGTATATTGGATACCTTCTAACACACAGTTTGAGAATAATACTACTTGATATCTTAATATGCATTTTATTATTACAAACTTATATTTCTTAATACACTTAAGCCTTCACATTAAATCCATCGAATTCTCATCTCGTTCTGATTAGCCTCGCATTATTTTGGAAAACGAATTTAAGCAGTAAAAATTAATAATATTATTTTATTTTTGGTTTGTTGTGACACTAGTGATAATATCGGCTCAACTTTCGTTTAGCTGAAATCTGTTATATAAAAAATGACTTTATATATGCGGTCTAGAAGGCGTTAGGAGTACAAAAATATGATGGAAATGTGTCAATGTCATTTTGTGCACTTTGTTTTTCATACATTTTTCAGTTTAGAAGCTTACGGGACCCGGGAGCGAATAGAGGTGCTGGGTGGGGTAAAATTATCTTTCGGGGGAATAACAATTCTTGTAGAATAGATAATATAGGTTCTTGTAAACTATAAGTACCTCGGAATGTTGCACTTATTCTTGTTTTTATTAAAGCTTTACGTAAATAGGGCTGATTTAAAACAAAAAATCATTGGATCATGCAGTTTTCTTTTATATTTTAATAATTAACTGTGATTTTACAAAAATATTAGATTGGTTAGCATTTGGGTTGCTTTGGTTAGCTTTTCTTTGTGGAGGGTGTTAAGCTGTGGTTTTTATATTTTAATAATTAACTGTGATTTTGCAATAATATTATTAGATTGGTTAGGATTTGGGTTGCTTTGGTTAGATTTTCTTTGTGGAGGGTGTTAAGCTGTGCTTTTCATATTTTAATAATTAACTGTGATTTTGTAAAAATATTATTAGATTGGTTAGCATTTTAGACAAAAGTGCTTCATCCAAGGATTTTTTTCTTTTAAACTGTTCTATAAGCATAGGACTTTCTGCCAAAAAAAAATCACTAAATTCGTGGGTACTTATACTTTACAAGACCCGATCATATAATAAGAAACAAATGGAAAATGAAAATCAAGCATTTCCGCAGGAAATTTTTAATTTTCCTGAGTTTGTAAACGCTTCTAAAAGGCAAAAATATATTTATTTTTTATATAACTGATTTCAGCTATTCTAAAGTCTATTAAATTTCCTCAGAAAATGGATACAGTTCACTTCCGCAGGAAAATTTTTATTTTCCTCAATTCGTGAATGCTTCTAAAAGGCAAAAATATATTTATTTGTTATATAACCGATTTCAGCTATTTTAAAGTCTAAAAAATTTCCTTAGAAAATGACAACAGCTTATTTCCGCAGGAAAATTTTTGTGTTTATATGCCCAGAAAAGTATTAAAAACAAAACGCAAAATGTATTTTTCTTATAGCAGATTTCAATTATTCTAGAGCGCGAAATTTGGAAATTACGCATTTCCGTAGGAGAATTTGTGTTTTCCGTGGTTCACAGTAGCTTTTAAAAGACAATTTTTTTTTTCTAATAACTGATTTCAGCTAAACGAAAGTTGACCCATAATATCTAATAATAACCTAACCTAACCAAACGAGCAAAATCAGGATAGCCAACTATTTCAATTATTGTTGATCGCTCCTACTCATGAATATCCGCAAAGAAAAATGTATCACATCGCAACGTTACTTGCAAATTTCAAACTGAAAAAAAACAATGTGAATAATTTATATCCAAGACCTTGTATATTTTATCTTTAGTAGCATTACTTGAAGTTACTATTATTATAGGTGCATTAAGCGTTGCACTTTACACTTAGGTATTTATAACAATTACGAATAATTGTATGGCACACAAATTAATTAGGAATTACACTTGTAATTTAATTTAGATATTAAAAAAACTTCGTCTTAGCAGAACCGAAACTAACCATAAAAAACCAAACCTATACTTGACCGATTAACATTTTATTTCGACGAGTTTTTTAAACTTTTATTGTTTCATCATATTCGTTTTTACTCCTTAACCGCAGATAATCAAAGATGGTTCGCGCGCTAACAAGTGTTGTTTTCTGTGTCATTTTGAGCAGTTTTAATGTATATGCTATTCAGTTACGTAAGTTAAATGAAATAACCATCCTTCTATTTTTAATTTAAAATTTAATTAAAAACAAAAATTAGAGATTTACATACTTTTTTGTGATTTGAAAATAATTATTCCAACAATATATAATTTAACAATTTTAGCAGTTACAGAATAACCCCAGGTGAGTCTTAAATAGGTGCAAATATTTTTAGGGGTAATATATTTCGACTACAGAGACACGCCTATGAGTTTTTTTTCGCCAAAAAAAAATACAAAATTTGGAGTTTTTTGAAAAAAAAATAGATTGTTTTTTAGTTATTACTTTAGAAACATAATTTCTTGAAAATATTGGCTACATAGATTGTGGATTAAATTTACAAAAAAAACAGAAAAAGTTCTCAAAACTTGCGAAAAAAAAATATTTTACGACCATACCAACAGGTATGGTAGGCTATTAAGATCGGCATAAAAAAATTTTTTTTAATGTCTGTCTGTCTGTCTGTCTGTCTGTCTGTCTGTCTGTCTGTCTGTCTGTCTGTCTGTCTGTCTGTCTGTCTGTCTGTCTGTCTGTCTGTCTGTCTGTCTGTCTGTCTGTCTGTCTGTCTGTCTGTCTGTCTGTCTGTCTGTCTGTCTGTCTGTCTGTCTGTCTGTCTGTCTGTCTGTCTGTCTGTCTGTCTGTCTGTCTGTCTGTCTGTCTGTCTGTCTGTCTGTCTGTCTGTCTGTCTGTCTGTCTGTCTGTCTGTCTGTCTGTCTGTCTGTCTGTCTGTCTGTCTGTCTGTCTGTCTGTCTGTCTGTCTGTCTGTCTGTCTGTCTGTCTGTCTGTCTGTCTGTCTGTCTGTCTGTCTGTCTGTCTGTCTGTCTGTCTGTCTGTCTGTTCTGTCTGTCTGTCTGTCTGTCTGTTCTGTCTGTCTGTCTGTCTGTCTGTCTGTCTGTCTGTCTGTCTGTCTGTCTGTCTGTCTGTCTGTCTGTCTGTCTGTCTGTCTGTCTGTCTGTCTGTCTGTCTGTCTGTCTGTCTGTCTGTCTGTCTGTCTGTCTGTCTGTCTGTCTGTCTGTCTGTCTGTCTGTCTGTCTGTCTGTCTGTCTGTCTGTCTGTCTGTCTGTCTGTCTGTCTGTCTGTCTGTCTGTCTGTCTGTCTGTCTGTCTGTCTGTCTGTCTGTCTGTCTGTCTGTCTGTCTGTCTCTGTCTGTCTGTCTGTCTGTCTGTCTGTCTGTCTGTCTGTCTGTCTGTCTGTCTGTCTGTCTGTCTGTCTGTCTGTCTGTCTGTCTGTCTGTCTGTCTGTCTGTCTGTCTGTCTGTCTGTCTGTCTGTCTGTCTGTCTGTCTGTCTGTCTGTCTGTCTGTCTGTCTGTCTGTCTGTCTGTCTGTCTGTCTGTCTGTCTGTCTGTCTGTCTGTCTGTCTGTCTGTCTGTCTGTCTGTCTGTCTGTCTGTCTGTCTGTCTGTCTGTCTGTCTGTCTGTCTGTCTGTCTGTCTGTCTGTAAGTCGTTTAAGACTCGCCCTGTAGATATTACTTGTCTATGCCATACAGTATTGGGTGTTCTGATACACTTAATTTTTTTCATCTAAAAATATTTTTATATTTTTTAATTATCTCTCTCCTAATTACTGAGTGTAATGAACTACTGTATTAGTTGAGACTATTCTTGGTCAAATACTTCAATAGTCAAATATATTAAAAAAATACAAGTAGTATTTTCTATCTTTATTACTAAACAAAAATTCCAAGTAAAAAATACTTAAAGTAGGTACATAATATCTTGTATTTAGGTTATAGTATTTTTATACAGGGTGGGTCTTAAATAAGGGCTAATATTTTCAGAGCTGGTAGATATCCATAAAAGGAACATATTGTTTCTTTTGCACGATTATGAGGTTTTTTTTTCGCAAATTTTTTTTCTTTTGAAAATTTGGAATTTGTGGAATTTTTTTTAGTTTTTAGTTAAAAAACATAATTTCTTGAGAATATGACACATGGGTAGTAGATTAAATTTACAAGAAAGAAAATCCAGAAAATATTCAATAGTTCCCAAAATTTAAGCAAAAATATTTTTTTTTTAAATTTTCAGCAAAATTTTTTTTTTAATATATATTTTTAGTTCATCTAAAAATTTGAATTGTTTCTTTTCTGAATATATAGGGTGAGACAATAAATTTTAGCTAGCCAGGAAATATTTTTTTGCCAAAATTCCTTGATTAAACTAAAGGTTTTAACACGCTCGTGGCACTCTAGATTGAAATTTAAAATGTTTTTTAACTGAATATTTCAAAAGTTAACATATTGCCACAGTTAACATATGCCACTCTACTTAGAATGTTATTTTCTATAAAATAAAGTAAAAAATATCGAGGGTGTCATTTAAAAATCAAATCTTGTAGTAATTTCCGATGGAACAGGAAGTAATTTTTATCTCAAAAAAAAAGTTATATATACGGGTGAGATACTTTTTAAAAACACCCTGTATACAGTATAAGGTTTTATCTTTAAAATACGATTTTTTTATTATTCTGAGGAGATACCAGAATTTAAAGAATCATCAGAAAATTTGTTGGGATAACTTGATAATAATTTCATTTTATGTTGAAATAAATACCTTGGTTTATATTTATACAGGGTGAGTCTTAAATAAGTGCAAATATTTTCAGGGCTGGTAGATCTCGATAAAAGAAACATATTTTCTCTACCATTTTTCAGATAAGTCCAAAATAACCGAGTTATTTAAGTTTGAAAATTAGAAAAAAATCATTTTTTTTTTAAATTTTAAGAGCCACCGGATTTTTTCTGTAATTGCATCCCTTTTAGTGCCTTAACCATAGAGTACGGAACTATAGTAAAAGCAGACATTAAGAAATTATACCGTGGGAAAATTTGCGGTGAACAGGCAGTTCTAAAAAGTTTTCGAAAAATATACAGGGAAATTTAAAAGAAAATGCACGATTTTCAACATCTTCTTTTTGCGAAAAAAACCTCATAGACGTGTTATTGGGGTCGAAATATACCAGCCCTGAAAATATTTATACTTATTTAAGACTCACCCTGTATAAAATTATGTACTTACTATATTTTCAACGATATTAATAATTAAAAGGTTTGTACGTTCAGCATAATTACAAGGATGCGTATTTATCCGTTTTCTACTACTGGCGTCATTAAATAGGACGATTAATAAAAAAATTAAAACCTTGGGTTACATATTTTTGTGGTCTTATTAAGGTTGTAGGTAGTAGTTATCTAGCTCTTGTCTTTTCATACACTTCTTCTCACTTCCACTACTCTACAAAATAAAAAAATATATTAAAATAATCTAAGTAGCGTATATTTAAAGCCAACTTTGCAAATTTGCTTTTCAAATCTGATATATTATATCTTTGAATTTGTTTATTATTATTATGCATGTCCACACTCTTTAAGTTATTTATTAGTCGTATCGTAAGACTTTCGGAATTTATAAAACAAAAATGTAAATTTATACACCTCTACGAATCATACTTATTTAAAAAAGTCGTGTTCTGAGGTTCAATAAGCGGTAGACCGCAGACGTCCGTAACAGAATGTTCTTCTATGAAAGAATACTTATATTAATGTCTCCTGGAATATCGTCAAAAAGGCTTATAATGAAGCAGGCTTTAGATGATAACAGACAAACAATTTTTATAAGATATTCCATTATAATTTGTTTTATTCTTGCCATTTAAAGTCCTTTTGATCATTAACTTCTATTTGTAATTCTAGTTTGATTTGCAAAAATAAAATTCTTGCATTTAAAAAAAAAACAGAAAAAAATGTTATTTATTGTTAGTGTAATACTAGATATATTAATTAATATTGTTGATTATTGGCCATTTCAATCAAGGTCAATTAATCATTGATGATGATGATAATACTGTTGGTTTGTAAATGAAAAAACATCTGTGTGTGTGTTATGTACTAAATAGTCCAAGAAAATGGGCCTTTAAATATGAAGTTTTGGTAAAAACAATTTTTTAAATTCACCCCTAAGATGGGGTGAAATAAATAGATAAAATTATTTATTCGAAATTTTCGGAGAAACGGTAAGAACTAGAAAAAAAAGTTCAAATAAAAGTTGTGGAGCATTCAAATTTACATAATTGACTCTATACTTTTTTGCTCAAATCAAAAATTAACCGAGATAGGGTACTTTTATTGGAACATTTTTTTCAAAGTCTTTACCGTTTCTCTAAAATGTGGAAAAAACACTTTATATTTATTGTTCCTTCTCGGGGTGAATATAAGTTACTTTGAAAGATCTAAAAACGAATTGTGAAAGATTTTTTTTTTAAATTCACCACTAAGATGGGGTGAAATAAATAGATAAAATTATTTATTCGAAATTTTCTAGAAAAAAAAGTTCAAATAAAAGTTGTGGAGCATTCAACTTTACATAAAAATTGGCTCTATACTTTTTTGCTCAAATCAAAAATTAACCGAGATAGGGTGGCTAGAAGCTAGGAGACAACTTTTATTGAAACATTTTTTTCAAAGGCTTTACCGTTTGTTTCTCTAAAATGTAGAGAAAAACACTTTATATTTTTTGTTCCTTCTCGGAGTGAATATAAGTTACTTTGAAAGATCTAAAAACGAATTGTGAAAGATTTTTTTAAATTCACCCCTAAGATGGGGTGAAATAAATAGATAAAATTATTTATTTGAAATTTTCGGAGAAACGATAAGAACTAGAAAAAAAAGTTCAAATAAAAGTTGTGGAGCATTCAACTTTACATAAAAATTGGCTCTATACTTTATTGCTCAAATCAAAAATTAACCGAGATAGGGTAGCTAGAAGGTGGAAGACAACTTTTATTGAAACATTTTTTTCAAAGCTTTACCGTCTTACCTAAAATGTGGAAATAAACACTTTATATTTTTTGTTCCTTCTCGGCGTGAATATAAGTTACTTTAAAAGATCTAAAAACGAATTGTGAAAGATTTTTTTTAAATTCACCCCTAAGATGGGGTGAAATAAATAGTTAAAATTATTTTTTCGAAATTTCGGAGAAACTGTAAGAACTAGAAAAAAAAAGTTCAAGTAAAAGTTGTGGAGCATTCAACTTTACATAAAAATTGGCTCTATACTTTTTTGCTTAAATCAAAAATTAACCGAGATAGGATGGCTAGAAGCTAGAGGATCATAGTAGAAATTTAAAAAAATATATAAGTTGCTGAAAAATTCATATATTTAACATTTTTATTCAATTTGTTTGGAAAGTTATAAATTTCAATTAAGATTTTTTTAAATTCACCCCGAGAAGGGACAAAAAATATAAATAGTGTTTTTTTCTAAATTTCAAAGAAACGGTAAAGACTTTGAAAGAAATGTTTCAATAAAAGTTATCCCCTAGCTTCTAACTACCCTAACTCGGTTAATTTTGATTTGAGCAAAAAAAGTATAATAATAATAGCTCCCGTATAATATAGCGTTTGACGCCTTGGGAGTAGCAAGGTACAGCTTGCCATGCTAGAGCCGTTCGGTATACAAGGAAGGTAATGTGGCTAGCACTACATTTCAGCCGCCTATTATTACCTCAGGATTGTGAATCCCAAGTACTCATTTAAGGCTGAGTCGACCTAGGTACCCAAACGGTATGAAACGGGTGTAGGATGCCGAGTGTAGGATTCGAACACACAACCTTGAGATGGGTAGACAAGAGCCTGTATCTCTACGCCACCGGGCCGGGAACCACAAAAAAAATAGAGACGGCAAAAAAAGAGCAAAAAAAGTATAGAGACAATTTTTATGTAAAGTTAAACGCTCTAGAGCTTTTATTTGACCTTTTTTTTCTAGTCCGTACCGTTTTTCCAAAATTTTCAAAAAATAATCTTATTTATTTATTTCACCCCTTCTCGGGGGTGAATTTAAAAAAATATATTTTACAATTTGTTTTTAGATCTTGCAAAGTAACTCATATCAAAAATTAAAGTTTTTACTAAAACTTCGTATTCGAAAGCCTATTTTCTCTGACTATAAAAGAGGATGTCAGAGAGGATTGTTAACACTAGATGTAATATTAATGTTTGATGATTTGTTTCATACAGCACCAGAAATCCACAAGTGCGACCGTACTGCACCTGATTTCAACGAATGTATGGTTAAAAGTATAGGAGAAGCGACTAGATATTTCAGTAAAGGTAATATCTCTTATATTTATTTTTATTAGATAGTATTAAAATTTATTAGTAATTTCAAAACTTCAATTTAGACCAACATGGGTTCATATCAAATTGGGAAAAATAATTTAAAATATAACTCCAATAAACCAATTTGATGTAGGCTCAAGGGATCAGTTACCTGCATGACGTCGACCCAGATATGTTTTTAAATAACATTAATAACAAATAAATACCGACCCATTAATCAAAAAAATATAACGATGTCAGGTCGACAACAAAGCGCAATTTTTTTGCTTGACACCAACAGCAAACATTATTTTAAAAGCAAGATAAAGGCAAAGGCTTTGGTGAGGGCAGCGAAAAACAAATATTTAGGCTTCTTGCCTTCACCGAGCAATCATAGGACGAAATTTCAAGGGCACCAGGTTTAAAAAAATAATTGCTTTATAGATCTTGTATAAGGTATAATTTTTTATGCTGGTTTCACATTTTTCCACCTTTTTAACAATATTTCAAACTTAAATGATACAAGGGGGATGTTGAAAATTGTTGCTCTATTTCGGAAAACCACCAAGGTTTTCCTGGTACCTAACTGCAACAAGCGACACTGCATGAAAAAATATTCTGATTAACTGTATTGTTTTTGAATTATTTTTTTACATTTTTGTTATCTAATCTATATCTAAACAGAAGTTAAGAATGTTTAACATAATGTGTAGTAATAAACATTACTACATATTATTTTAAACATAAATTGTTGTTTTTATTTCAGGTTCTAAGGATTTCGGTTACCCTGTCCTGTCGCCTTTTAGGATAGAACGTTTAGAAATTAATGGAGAACCTGGAAAATCTGTTACACTTAACCAAAAATACGATAATGTAGTTATGTATGGCATGACCGAATCAACAGTAAAATCATTTAGGTAAATTGTTCATTTAGATTACTAGTTTTTTTACAATTTAGTGATATTTCACCAATATTAGCCTAAATAAAGTTATTGTATATTAAACAGGTAATTAAAGTATTATACCGGGTGCGTCTCAAAAGTGGCTCACCCCTATAACTTTTTTATTTTTAAACGGTTTTATTTAGCTCGACCCGTACGGTATATATTTATTTGTTTGTTTATTTGGGTCAAAATTAGAAATTGAAATTTAAGTATCTTCCTGTTGTCAGATTTATCTGAAATTTGGTACACACCTTTAGTTCCGATGACAATACAATATAGTAATATCAATAACATTGTAAATCTTAGATGGCCGCCGGTACAAAATGGCGGATTTCATATTTTTCCACAACCCCCTCAATATGGGTATCAAATGAAAGGGCTACACTAGTAGAATACTGTGATTATGACAAAATTTAAAATCCAAGATAGACGTCGTTACAAAATGGCGTATTAGGTGAGGGCATGAGTAGTCGTGTCCAGAACAGTTGTGTCCAAGATTGTGTGACGTGAGAAGGACAGATAAAAAAAAATAGGTGATTAGATGTACATAGGTAGTTAGCGGTAGCTTTACCACCCAAGTTAAGGTAATAGGTTAAAACGTGCTGAGGACTGTATGGCATTAGAGTGGCTAAAAATGTAATGTCGCAAGCGTTTTCCCCTCAAGATTGGGCGCCTCTTGTTCTATATTATAGCCTTGCCCCTCTACTGAACCTCTGGGGGGGTCGACCGTTAAAATGTCCATTACTCGTGGGAACAACATGGACGAAATTTCAATGGTATCTTATCAAATGCTGTGTATGATTGACGCACGATTAAGACAACTTAAAAATCATGAAGACGAGTTCTTTGGAGGCATAAACGTTTTATTTTTGGAGATCTGTTACAACTGCCTCCAATCAAACGCTCCGGAGCTCCTGTTTTCAAACAGCCCGATCATCTCCAACCAGCCACACATATATGGCGTTTGTTCACGCTCTGTGAACTGACGGAGAATATGCGTCAGCAAGGGGACCATACTTTTATTGAAATATTAAATGCTTTGAGAATAGGTGAGCTAACCGCTAACCATTTTCGTATTTTGATGCAAAGAGTTATTCAAAACCCAAGTGATGAGTTTGCAACAGAGAAAGCGTTAAGGGTATACCCCACTAATCAGCAAGTAAACAATCACAACGCTGCTGTTTTAAATCTGTTCCGGAATAAGGGATCTCGAATTTACACCATTAAAGCACACGACCAACTAAATGACGCCACACGAAATACAGATAATTTAAACTTAGCAAATATAATACCAACAGATATAAATAAGATTGGAGGCTTACCATCAGTACTTGAAATATTTGTAGGAGCAAAAGTAATGTTGCGGTCCAACATTGACGTTTGATAAATTGACGGATTGGTAAATGGTGCTATAGGCCACATTACAGAAATTGTTTGGCCTCAGTTCCGTCGAACCGAAATGTACGACACAGATGTACCATCAGTTTGGATTGACTTTGGCAGAACGGCATACACGTTATACACCCGAAAGCCATACAGTTTCCAGCAAAATTCAATTATGGTACGGCTGAAAGAAGGATGCTACCCTTAATTTTGTCATGGGCATCCACCGTCCATAAAATGCAGGGCAGCACAGTCGACCATGCAGTAGTGTATTTGGGCTCAAAATTGTTTGAGGAAGGGCAAGCATACGTGGCTCTAACTCGAGTCAAGTCTCTGGAAGGGCTATGTATTGAGGAATTAGATTGTAATAAATTATCAGGTAAAAAACCATGTAATAATGATGCACTAAATGAATTAAATAGAATGAGGAATATTCGGTAGGCATTTCCGTTAAATACTAAAAACTAGAAAATAGAAAATCGGTAAAAAACTTTTAAGTTAAACGGTTTTATCTTATGTGCACTGAAAACTAGAAAATAATAATAATTAGGTATTTTGAACTTCTAGTTCAGAAATATTTTAGTACTAGGCAGAATAGCTTTTAGGCATATTAGACTAAAATAAAAACGTGGGGCCCATTAACTATTGCTGTAATACTTTCTTCTATACTAAGTGTGGATTGCATCGACTTACTATAATCGTAACTGGAGATTTTGACAATCAATAACCAGCCGTGGCGGCTTCACCAGCGAACGCCGAGCTCATGACCTACCAAAGTATAAAGATATGCTTTGCCATAGGTAGGATTTCAGAGGGTCCCCACGTTTTTATTTTAGTCTAATATGGGAGATTTTCCACCTAAAGTGACCAAAAACAATTGAATACGAAAAGCTATTCTGCCTAGTACTAAAATATTTCAGAACTAGAAGTTCAAAATACCTAATTGTTATTATTATTTTCTAGCTTTCAGTGCACATAAGATAAAACCGTTTAACTTAAAAGTTTTTTTACCGATTTTTTATTTCAGATAAAAAAACGAGATTTGGTATGTTGTTATCATATATCAAGAGGCTTCCTGTTGTGACCTAAAGTGACCAAAAACAATTGAATACGTCAGCCAATCCCAATTTATGTCATATACTAACACACCGAATCTCGTTTTTTTATCTGAAAAAATAAAAAAGTTATAGGGGTGAGTCACTTTTGAGACGCACCCGGTATTTAATGACGTTGAAAAAAAAACAGAAAAAAATAAAGGAATAAAATAAAAAACATAATTTCTTGATAATTTGGCAACACAGATAGTAGATTAAAATTACAAGAAACAAAATCAATAAAAGATCCAGTGGTTCTCAAAATTAAAGCAAAACAGTTTTTTTTAAATTTTCAAACTAAAATAACTGGGATATTTTGGACATATTTAAAAAACGGTAAAGAGAAAATATGTTTCTTTTGTTGAGATCTACCAACCCTTGAAGGGCTGCTGCGCCACTGAGTCTAATAAATTATAAAAATTGTATTATGTTCTGTTTTACAACAAATGTTTTTCAGTTTAAAAGATGATGGTGGTGTATGTCTTTGGGAACTTGTGATTCATACCCCATATACTCGAATGGAAGCGGATTATCAAATGACAGGTCAAATTTTAGTATTTCCTATTAACGGCCATGGAAGATGTAATGTAACACTGAGTAAGTCAATTAAATAGGCAGATAAGAAAAATGTAATTTAGCAGAATAATTAAAAATTTTATAATTAAAAATTGAAAATCATTATACCGGGTTATATCGTAACCACCGTAATAACAAGGCCGGACAGCTTATTCGTGACGTCATCAACTGGAGGCCTAAACTTTGATTGCATTTGATACACTTTACACGTATATAATGGATATAAACTTTAATTGCACCAAATTTTTAATAAATAATAATTAAACATAAAATTTTAAAAACATCAGATTGATATCCCATCTCACATTATCCATCGTCATTGTATTTATTTATGCTGTAAGTGTGTCTAAGTTTCTTTTATTTCCTTTTCCAACTCTATCATTATTTTTTAACAACAGTAGTTTTTCAGACGTGTATTTCTAATAGAATTTATGACAATTTTTACAATAACTTAGCATTATAAATAGTACATTGCGGAAATTTTAATAAGGGTGTTATTACTTTTAATGTAATCCAAAGATATTTTTGATAAAAATATTTTTTTATTGTGAATTTTGAGCAACTCCTCATGGTTTTGCAAGACTTTGTTAAAAATTATATATTCAAATAAAACTATATTAGTTATTTCATCTTTTGGAAACCCAAGACTGCCTGTAGTAAGGTTTTTTATAAGTGAATTTTGTTCAATATCAGTGTTGTCTGAAAATTTTAAATTATTTTTAGGGACATTAATGACTGAATCTTAAGTTTCTTCTCGCCTTCATATAAATGTCGAACACAAAGACTGTACTGACTCCCGGCTATCTGTCTATATTTTCCAAACCTACTTTCAAAAGGATCAGTTTGCAAGTTCTCTAGTAAAACATACCTCATATTTTACTCATTAAAACAATATTTTATTATTTCAAGCCTAACCTGTTACTCAACTGAAGTTAATAACTTTAATATTGAACACGGATAAAAGTTAGAAATTTTTTATTATTTTCATCGCATTTTAAAGAATTTAGTAGATAACAAGCATGACTAATAATTTGATCAGTATTACTATCAGGGTTCGGAAAACTACATGTTACTCTTAAAAACTATATAACTACATTACATGTAGTTAATCGATGTAGAGGGTGTAGTGTATGTAACTTTCAAATATGAAAGGTTCGAGGTGAGGTAAAAGATAAGTAAAAGCTTTAGAAAATACATATAAATATATTTGAGAAAACAGAAGAAATATAGCTTTAAATATAATATTCACATCTTATTATTTAGACATTATAAGGCATTATACCTTTTAAATTGTATAATTGCACACACTTATAATCACTTTATAGTTTAAACACCTCTTTTTACAGATTTATAACTTTTTTCACCCTTCTATTATCGATTATAATTACCACGACCGCACACCTACTGATAAATCCGCTACGCGCTTCGACAGGCGCCGCACAGTGGTCTAAATGTAAAAATTACGGGGACATTAGGTGACAAGTTTGTCTTCACTGAAGATTGATAGTATGTATAATTTTATAAATAGAATAAAGTCCCATCTTACTTGTATATCAGAGTTTTGTATTTGGTGGATCGGAATCCGATAAAATTGAGGACAAAGTAAACAAAAACATAAATGTTCATTTATATAGAATTTGATCTCGAATATCTTAAGTTCGTTTTGGTAGTTGTGTTGAGATTAGAATATCGTGGTTTGGTTTGGTTTTTTAATTCAGACATGTCTGCTCATTTGTCAGGTAAGTTTAGTTACTTATTTCGAAACACGAATTTTGATATAATTAGTTGTCAAAGAAGTATTTACAATTTTATTAAAGTTTAAAGAATGGAAGGCTCAGAAAAAAAACGACCCTTTTCTTCACCGTCAAACTCAATTTATTTTGAAGCTAGTATATCTACCTATCGTGTAACAATATACTGAGCTGCAGATAGGTGCAGTCTCGTGAAATTTTTATTTTTTTTCCTATTATGTACAGTTTCGGGCGTGAGTCGAAAACACTTATTTGAGCTTTTGAATGAAAATGGCTGGATGGGAAGTGCCACTTTTTTAGTTGTGAGAAAAAAGATGGCCGACTTTGTCAAACAACGCATCCCTACTGCTGACGATGATGACCTAACCATCAAAATATCATGGTTTTCAAATCAAATTGCTTTACGTTGGAAAAGGTGCTACCGGAATAAGAAAGACTTTTTAAAGAATACATGTAATTTGGCTTAACGAATATGTTTATAAATCTAAGTGCCAAAGCACCTTTCAGCCAGGGCCTATTTTACCATAAGGCCCATAAGGCCCGGGCCTTGGGCCCGGTGGTCTGGGAGGGCCGTTAAGGGTTGTACAATATTCATAATTTCTTGAATTTTTGAATTCTGTTGGAAAAGAGGGCCCGAATTTTTGCTTGGGCCTTAGGGCCCGACCAGATGAAAAATAGGCCCTGCTTTCAGCAACATGCAAAAACGCCTTCGCGAAAGAACTCAAAAGAATTTAGTGCTGTTAGCACTAGAACTAAGAGAAGACGTACACAAGAATTGTTTTCTCAGTGTAGTCCTGTTGAACTTGCGTTTGCTACTCAGACTGGATATACAAAAAAAGGAAAGAGAAATGTTGCTTTTGCCATCAAAAAAGCTACCATTTTTAGTCCAGAAGAGTTGGCAAAAATAAAAAATTTTAGAAATGTTAAACAACGAGATGCGACCATTTTCTCCAGAGGAAGCCTTAATAAAGATAACATTTTGTAGACCAGTAAATATACATTCAGTTAAAATACCCAAGTAACACAATATCATTATCAACATTGTTTTTAAGTTGTAATATTCACTTGTAAATTCAACAAATAAAATGACAAATACCATCTTGTAATATCCTGGCGCAATAAAACAAAATAATATTTTAGGTACTGTAAATAATGGTATAGAGCTTCAAAAATAAAAATGGCTGTAACTTTTGATACACATGGTATAAACCATTCACCCCTATGTCAAAATGCTGGAAAAAGTACCAGGAATTGAAATCTTAAAAAATATATAGGGTGTTTTCTTTAAAAAAACTGAAGTTTGGTCTTTAGCACTTTTCTGACACACCCCGTATAATTAAAAATATTTTAACAAGAAGCAATTCATTATTACTTATAACTTTTGTATTAGCATTATTTTAAAATTCTAAATAGCAAACGAGATACTAGACTTTATCGCATTAATTGAACACCCTGTATATAAAATAGGAAGGTAAAAATGTAAAAAATCTTTTTGATGAGTGTAATTTTACATAAAAACATTATACATAACAATTATTTCCTTTATTGCAAAAACAAAATTGGGTGTCCCCGTAATTTTTCCATTTAGTTTAGTAATATCGATAAAATACATAATATATACTATAAAAAATATCTATTATTTTATTGTTTTTTTTTCTCATATTATACACTATTGTGAACTTAAAATATTCCTTTATTAAATTTGATTGATAAAAAGTGAGAGATAAACATTTATTGACTGGTATGATTTTTTCCGTATTCTATTAAAACTATTTTTATATACTATATAATATTTTAAAAAAAAAAGAAAACAGCATCTCGTTGGAAAAGACATTTTAAAACTTCGAAATATATCTGGCGAGTGAAAAAAGATCCACAATTTGAACTTTTATCGGGTAATTATAAACGCTGCTAAATAAAGTTGGGCCTCCAGTTGGTGACGTCACGAGATTTTTACGTCACAGCTATCTGGCCTTGTTATTACGGTGGTTACGGTTATATACATCGTCCAGTGCCTTCTATTAAAAGATCAGCCTACGGGCGAGATTTATGACGTCACGCTAGTTAGATATAACAGATTAATAAATATGTTGTAGAATACATGGAAAACATAATTATTCCTCAGATTTTTGGTTTGTATTTTAAAAATGATATAGTTTAAATGAAATATACATAATATACAGTTAATAACTACAACATATATACCTATTTATAGTAATAAATACTTTGGCAAATAAACTATGAACCATACAAATGCAGCAAATGTTTTACAATGTACAAATAATGTATAGGTACATAAGATAATGAGTAAAATGTAAATATATTTTAAATTTTGGGGTTTGAAAATCGATCTAATTTAACAAAAAACATTTAATATCTACTAATAGTGATGTATTATTATTTGCATTCACAAAATTTATATGTATATTTGGCAAGTATCAATGTTCGAAAAATTATATTTACAAATAATACAATATTATCTAAAAAGGCGTCAGCGATGGCTATGAAATGAAGATCGCTGGCATTTTATATGTTAAATTATTCTAAATTTTTGATTTTCTTAGGGATTTTAGGGTTCGGGAAAACGTTGATTAAGTTTTCATTTGCTTTCATTATTTTTAGTTTGGTTTAAACGTTTTCGCCAACTATAGTTTTTACAGTGTTGTGTCATATGAGAAAAATATAAGTCGAATATAATCCAAAAATTACATAACAATATAATTCACACCTTATAATGTTTACTGCAAATAATAAACTAATATAAACTTATCAAAAGATGACCACATATTTTTTAAAATTATTATTCTTAACACTAAAATTATCTACATTGACTATGGAGTACGCAGTAAACATTATGTGCGTGGTGTGAATATTTTATATGTAATTTTTTGGATTATATTCGACACTATTTTTTTCATATGACACAGCACTGATGAAGGCTATAATGTTAGCCGAAACGTTTTTCTTAAACCAAATAAAAATAATGAAAAACGAAATGAAAACTTAATCAGCGTTTTTCCCGAACCTAAATTCCAAGAAAATCAAAAAATTTAGAATATTTAGAAACAAGGTTCAAGAATATCAAATTTTCCAAGATTGTAAAATTCTAGTTAATTATTTTATATGTACAGTTATTTAGGGAATGTCATCGATGTTCATTTCCAAGCCAACTAGACGCCGATTTTTTTCGGTGATACGGTATAATTCTTACGTAAAATGTAAATAACATTAGACCAATTAAAACAAAGAAATATGAATTTCTTTGTATTTTTAGTAACACCTTTATTCTTAAAACTTAATTTTGTATTATGCAAATATACCAATTTTATTGTTATTTTATTCATATTCTATTCAGCCATCACTTAAATATTTGATATTAATTTGGTATTATAAATAATCAACACCTTTCATTAAAAATTACTGAACAAATATATGTTATGCTTGACATACATTATATATTATCAAACAAAAACACATTCTTCTTTTAAACTGTATCTGTCTTGTCTTTACAAAAATCTTTTTTAAAATGAACTCAAAGTAATAATCTTTTTCATGATCTTTAATACACATATTCTTTATTTTTCCCTAGATCATAATACCTACTTACGTGTTTGAATCTATCGAAGCTGAACCAACAACACTTGGAGTGGAGATTCCACAATATGAATAAAATAACATAATTGTCCAGTTTTCATTAATACCATCATGGGAGAATATTATTTTTAAATTTATTAAAGATATTTTCAATAAAATTCTCTTGATTTATAACTCGTACCCACTTTTCTTGCTCTTCCGGACACTTTAGGCTGCCTAGTATAATAACTATCCTTAGTAACTATCCTTTCCACCAGGAACACAACAAAGATGAGGCATAGCACCAAAAACACACTCCACTTAAGCTTTATTGATGAATTGTTAGAGTCTTAAAAAACACACACAAAAATCACGATAAGTAAAAAATGTATGGGCACTTTTAGGTTAAATCACTTACACAACGTGTAATTTTTAAAATTTCTATTTTTTTATGCGAAACCGAGAGTGACCATATATCTGGTAGTAGTTTATGTCACTTCAACACCAAAATAATTAGTTTTTTGCACTACAATAATAAATAATACCAAAAATCAAAGAGTTAAAACCAAAAATCAACCGACAAAATATGAAACGGAATCTAACCCAATATCTAAGTATGTACAGCTGATGAAGTAAACAAAAGTCCGCCCGTAGGCTGATCTTTTAATAGAAGGCACTGCATCGTCGTCGAAAACAGGAAATTCCATGCAAATTTTGAACTGGCCATTGGCTCCTATTAATTTTACAGCTAATCGTAATAAGTTTCTTGTCATAATGTTATTCTATTCAGAGTGTCATTTTTTTATTGATGGCAATGGTGTCATTTAAAAATCAAAAGTTCTTGTAATTTCCAGTGTCAACAGGAAGTTGCCGAAAACAATTGTATACGTCAATCAATCCTAATTTATATCATATACATACCAAATCTCCTTTTTTTATCTGAAAAAATAAAAAAGTTATAGGTGTGAGCCTCTTTGGGGAAGCACCCGGTGTAAAAAAAATATATTTTTTTTCTTTTAGAAAACTTATTTTAATTCTAAAAAAATATTTTACAGATTTTCTATGTAAACTTTTCTTCACTATACGTATTAGTTTTTATTTAATATTTTTTAGTGCTTTTATTCAACCCATTTACTTAAAATTCACTCTCTGCGGTTATCCCTACTTTTAGATATATTTTGCCGTCATGAAAATTTGTATATATTGTAGTATAAACATTATATATTATTATAATTATTATTTTATTTTTATTTGCCTATAGTTAATAAAAATAATGCAATTAAACTGATTTTAATTATTAAGAGTGTATATTTTTATGTCATATTTAATATTGTTTAGATTTTTTGTACATTTTACAATTCTTTGTATTTAAATTTAAACATTATTTTATTTTTTCTTTTTAGCTGGCATAGTTAATAAACACACAGCCGATTGCGAACATTACACCAAGAAAGGCAAATCCCATATGAAATTAAAAAATTATAAAATGGACATGTCTACCGAGGGTGCCTATTTTGATTTTGAAAATATATTTCCCGGAAACGAACAAATATCGAAAGAAGTGGGAAAAACAATTAACGAAAATTCCCAGGAGGTATTCAACGATGTCAAGCAAGGTTTTGAGAAAATCTTGGCCGAGCTTCATCAAAATGCAGCTAACAGTGTCTTTTCGAAAATTCCAGAAAATGAATTGTTTGTAAAATAAGAGAAATAATACAGTTATATCTATATAAAAGACTACAATACTCTGAAAAGATGAATAGATGATAGTTATAGTACATTATTTTTTGATTGTGATTAAGAACACTAGTTAAGAGTATTCATTAAGATTATTTTTTCTTTCAAAAATGTAACTTTTCCTCAAATAGTAAATAGTTAGGAACAGTAAATAGTTATTGGGGGTTTATATCATTTATACATGTGTAATAATATACATTTGTCAAATATTGATATATCTGTAAATAAATATGGTAAAATATTAGAAAATATAATGAAAAAAAAATTACTGTAGAAATAAAGATAATTGAAATACAAAATGATTTTTTTTATAATTAACATATGGAATTAAAATTATTTATTTTATAATTAACATATGGAGTTATTGTATTGTTACGTTTTTCGTCGGTTCCGTGTGGATAGAAAGTCACAATTTATTTAAACACTATTTATTTAACACTAATTAACAAAAACAATAACGATAAAAGACTTATATGTAGAACTATTTACAAACGATTTATAACTAAGAATTTATTTTGAACTTTAGCGCGTCAACTGTACTGTTTATTTACAACTGCCCCCTGTAGGCCACAGCCGCCGGCTTTTATACCGACAGGTAAAGAACTCTAGAATAGTCCATAGATCGTTAGGTGCGTAGAGAAGGGTTTCGAATGTTCTCGTATGTACTAGTCCATTCCAGTGGGACTCGATTCTTCTCGAACGAATGAATCATTACGGTGTCTATTCTTTAATGCGATGTTAAGGTCACAAGAATAGATATCAACCAGAAGCCTAACTTAGAGTTTGCGCGGGAAACATCGCCTAACCTAAAAATAGCGGTAGAACCTGTCAACGCACTGGCGTTCGCAGTTCACTTATGTTTTGCGTTTTGCTGAGAGCAGTAGCTGTTCGTCATTCGTAAATATTGAATATTGTGGTTTGTGTTGTTTTATAACTGAACGGAGCGAATAGTCTGGAATAGTTATTAAATATTTGTTGTGCTAGGTACATTATTTATAATAACTTCAAAGAGTACTGGTTCAGTTTGTGCCTCAAGAATGTGCAAAAGCCGGAGTTATGTTTCGCCAGGACGCAAAATGTTTTACGATACGTTTGTGGATATTTAATAAAAAAATGTTTCAGTATACATTCATGTGATATATGTATCAAATATGCAAAGGCACACAGTGAGTTAGATGATACATCGTTGTTTTGCCATTTACGTGCCTATGAAAATAATAAAGAGTGAAATAATAATTTAGATATTTTTGGCAATCTTCAGATGTCACATGACAATTTTGTATCTTTTGTTTCTTCATTAGAACTTGTTTTTAGTAAATATTACGAAGAATATGGGACAAGACATTTTATTAAAGAAATATATATAATATGCAAACAAATTAATTTCAAACATCCATCTACTATTTTTCCCCTAAAATATGTAACTAAATTATATCTGCTTATGAAATTGTATTATACATTAAAAAAGATAAACCTTAATTTTAAAACAGCCAATAAAAACAAACTAATTATATGGAGGCATGAATAAATACCTACATAAGTATTCTGATGTTAGCTTGTTTATTTATTTCGTTTGAAACTTAAATGAACACCTACCCTATCTTTACAGGATGTTTTAAAACGGGCCAATTGAAGGTAAGTATCTCAAGCGTCCTTATAAAGAACCCAAAGTTTTAAATTTCAACCAAATCTCTTCTTATATTAAAAAATCCGCCATATTGGATCCGCTAATTTGATTTTTTTTCTTCAAAAATATTATAAAAGTGTCACCGGAACTCAATACGTGTGCAACATTTCGGAAAAATTGGGATAATAGAAGTGATCAATAAAGCTGCTGCCAGATTTGCAACAAACAAAGGTATGGTAAAGTTAAATAAAATCGTTTAAAAATATAAACTATTTTTATACCGCGATATCTCTAATGGTTTACTAATGCAGTGTTTTTTATCGCTGGCAATAAGTTTTACATTAAAAATATTACTCCATAAAATATGTTGGGACATTTGTACTAAACCAATATTACAGCATCTTAAACAAATTAGCCTTTACTTTTAACTTTAACAAACTCACCTATTAAAGTTTTAAGCAGTAGTTTTATTAACTGCCGAATGATATTAATTAATTCTATACTTTTCAATTTACAACAAAAAAATAAATACAACTCTGTATACATTCAACGGAAATTTATTAAATACGTCTCTGTGTTCTACCGCTATTAAATGGCGGCCCAATTCGTGAAACGTTACGGATTTCAGCTCCAGTTAGGTTTCTGGTTGATATCTATTCTGTGGTTAAGGTCATCTGAGGGCAGGACATATAGTTAGGTTAGGTCGAGTCCACACGGGTCCGCAACACTGCCCCCTTCTTAGGTACATGCTCGTCCCGAGATGTACACGGTGAATGAAGGTATTTGCAAAGCTGGCCCCTGGTACATTGCGAAGTCTGGTAGAAATAGCAGTCTACAGTTTTCTCTCCCGATCTCAGCTTTGGGTTGTAGCAGCAAACGAGGATCTCGATTCCCGTAAATCTGAACAAGACTTCAATCATGTTCCGGATTGTACGCCAACTCAAACCATCGAGTCCACACGCCAGCTTCGGAATGGCTAATCGTGCAATGTTGTTGTTTAGCAGGGCTTCTCTCAGTTCAATCAGGGTCTTCCATAGATTGAGATAAGTCGGCTTACTCGGGGACCATTCCTTGGTGACCAGGTAGAAGATGTGCCTTGCTTGACCATGTGCATTGTCGGTTAGCCTCAAGACGCTTCCAACCTCTGGATCCTGTCGGCGTAGTTCTCCGACACGCCCAAACTTCTCATTGAACGTCGCAGCGATTCCTCTGGACATCCGCAAATCTCGAGCCACACAATGAGCGAGCGAATAATCAGGAGGCACGGAAAAGAGGTCTCGTTGATCTTCTTTGGTTACACCATAGCGAGCCTTCTCACTGCTGTTGTATCGGGCCATGAAATCGTCAAAGGACATCTCCGAATCAGGGGGATCAAAGCTGCAGGTTCTCACGGTCCCAGCACGATCTTCTATTTCGCCTTGGTAGGGGCTCAAACGGTTGAAATGGACTACCCTCGGTTTTCCTTTTGGCAATTTTCTGATACGGTATACGACGTCATTAATTCTATCCATGACTTCGTATGGCCCTTCCCACGAGGATTGTAGCTTCGGAGATAACCCACGACGTCTCTGCGGGTTATATAGCCACACCAACTTCCCTGGTTGGTATCCTCCATGCTCAGCTTGAATGTCGTAGTGTTCCTTCATTCGGTCACTAGCACTTTGAATATTTAGGCGGACTCTCTGATGAATGTCGTCCATCCTTTGACGTAGTGTGTGGACATAATCTTCTCCGGCGACTTCTTCTCCCGGTCGGCAACCAAATTTCAGATCACAGGGTAGGCGCACTTCCCGTCCCATAACGATGCTGGCTGGAGTTTGCCCTGTGGATTCTTGGACGGATGAGCGGTAGGCCAACAAGAACAGGTGAAGGAATTTGTCCCAGTCTCTTTGGTGGTCAGAGACTACTTTGGCCAGATAACGGTTGATAGTTCTGTTCGTGCGTTCAACCATCCCATCGGATTGTGGATGTAGAGCAGTCGTCCTGGTCTTGCGGATGTTAAGGACTTCACAGACGCCTTGGAACAAATCAGAATTCTTAAACTGCAACAGCCATTTCAAAGCAGCATGGTCTGTTCTTAACAAGAACTTTCTTCCATAGAGATACTTGTAGAAGTGTTCCACTGGCTTTAACTACTGCTAGTAATTCTCGTCTGGTTACACAGTAGTTCCTTTCCGGTTTTGACAAGGCCTTACTAAAATAACCAATGACTTTTTCTTGACCATCCTGGATCTGAGACAGAACAGCGCCTAACGCAACATTGCTAGCGTCGGTATCCAATATAAAGTTTCCGTTGCCAAGAGGATAGCTAAGTATGGGCGCACTAGTCAGGGCCTTCAATCTTCGGAATGCCTCGTCAGAATCTGAGTCCCAAGAGAAACGCCTTTCGTCTTCGGTAAGTCTGGTCAATGGTTTTGCGATGGTGGCGTAACCTTGTACATAGCGGCGATAGTATGTGCATAGTCCCAAAAAGCTTCGTAGTTCATGTTTGTCTTTGGGTATCGGCCACTCTTCCACTGTCTTGGTCTTCTGTGGATCTACCGCAACTCCCTGGGAGGAGACTACATGGCCCAAGTAGTGTGTACCTTTTCTTGACACAGATGACATTTCTTGGGGCTAAGTTTCAAACCAGAGCTCCCTAGTCGCTTGAAAACTTCTTCCAAATTCTTCAGATGATCGTCAAAGGATTTCCCAACCACTATGATGTCATCCAGGTACACGAAACAGGTAGTCCAGGATAGTCCCTTTAACACAGACTCCATTAGTCTCTTAAAGGTAGCTGGCGCGTTGCACAATCCAAAAGGCATGACAGTAAATTGCCACAGTCCGGAGCCCACCGAGAACGCTGTTTCCTCTCTGTCTTGGCGCCATGTCGACTTGCCAATATCTTCAGATCCAAAGTAGAGAATATCGTCGACCCCGCCAGCGTGTCTAGAGTATCGTCTATCCTCGGCAGGGGATAGCTATCCTTCTTTGTAACATTATTGAGCTGCCGATAATCAACACAGAACGTGGTGGTACCGTCTTTCTTCTTTACTAGTACTACCGGCGATGTCCACGGGCTGTTAGATGGTTCGATGACACCCTCTTCTTTCATTTCTCGAAGGATTTTGTCAGCTTCTTCACGTTTGGCGAGCGGAAGTCTTCTCGGATTTTGTTTGATTGGTCGTGCATCTCCGGTATCAATTTTGTGTTGTACTAAATTGGTACGACCTCTCTGTCCTGCTTCTCCTTTATCAAACACATCTTGATACTTGATTATCAGGTTTCTCAATTTTCTTCTATTTTCGGGAGATAATCCTTTAACGTTTACTAACTCCTTCACCATTTTGTCCGGAATTTTTGAAGTCGAAACTTTGGAGGCTTCCACGCTTCGAACGACTGAGGAGACCGAACAACAGTACCCTAAGAGGGTTCCCTTCTTCAAGGATACAGAATAATAATTCGTGTTCATTACTCTCACCGGTACAGTTTTCTTCGCTCGTAGCAGGGCTTTTCCAACAGCGATCCCTCGTCCTATTTCGCTGTCATGGTTCCTTGGCTCCAACAGAATAATACTCCCATTATTCATTTTACCTTCTAGGCAACCATCCAAAAATATCTCACAGCGCTCAGGGATCGAAACATCTTCTGCTACCACCACGCGAAGCGTCTCCTCACATTTTCGATGCAGAACCACTTCTTCTTCATTTATTTTCAAAATTCCTTGTTTGAGGTTTAGCTCAAAACCTCTAGTGGTCATGATGTCCATTCCGAGAATAAGTTCATCTTCGATGTCTGCTACTAACACTCGATGATTAAAACAGGTGCTTCCGATAACAAAATTAAGATCTACCTCTCCATGGATGAGAGCGGAGCTTCCTGTAGCTGTACGTAGTCGCCATTGTGTTGTTTTAATCCTTTTTAATGTTTTAAGGATATCCGGCCTGATGATTGTTTTGGTCGCACCCGTATCCAAAAGCATGGTCCGTAACTCTCCATCCACGAAACCATCCACAAAAATGCTGTTGAACTTGTGTTGTAGCGAGGGCGACTTGAGCAGTTGGGGCATGTTGGGTTCAGGTCGACGTGTGCCCCTTCATTTCGACCCTTAGTAGTTTTCCGACCTCGACGAAGCCGGTTCTTCGTTCTTCTCCTTACAACGGCTTCGCACGTGTCCTACCTGTCCATAATTCCAGCAACGAATCGGTCCCTTCTTGCCCATGTACTGGTCCAGTACCTTCCGAACAATCCCTTCCACGGATTCGTCGATGGCCCGTACTTTTCCTAAAGACCGAGAACTTTGTTTCGCGGCCTCAAATTCTAGGGCACGTGCTAAAGCATCCACCAAGTGCGTTGGGGGGGCTAGGAGAAGTGCTTGTCTTGTCTCGTTGTCACGTAAGCCGTCGGAGAATGCCTGTACTGCCAACCGCTCCATAACATTCTCTGGCGTAACAGGTAGCGTAACGTCTAACGCAACGGTCAACGGTCAGCGTAACGTCTAACGCAAGGCGAATGAGGCGGGCTACGTCGGCTTCAAACTCCTGCAGAGACTCATTTGACTTTTGAATGCGATTTTTTAGCTGGGAATGATAGATATGTTCCAAATGAGCTTGGCCGTACCTCATTTCTAAATGTCGTACCAATTGCTGATAATCTCCCTGTTCCGATGGTGACAATGTCTGCAGGATATCAGTCGCATCTCCTCGCAGTGCGACAGTCAAAGCGCTAGCCTTTTCAGCGATTGTCCATCCGTTCGCTCTCGCAGCGGCCTCAAACTGGCAAAAATAATTGGCCCAAGCGGTTTTTCCGTCAAACTGCGGAGGTTTCATAACTGATTTTGAGGCATACCTATTTTCGACTAGTTTCGGTCCCTCCGATGTTTCTTGACATTTTGGTGAATTCGACTTCGCTATTTCTTCTTTTAAAATTTCGATTTTTTTATTTACATCGTCCTCAATTTGTGTTATTTTGTCTTGTAGCTCCGTAGAATTCCCTAATCTTTTCGTCTAATTCCCTGGAATTTTCTGTTATCTTTTCTTCTAAATTAAGTATTTTATTATTAAAGCTGGCCTGTATATCTTTAGAATTTTCTGTGATCTTATCTTCTAAAATATTAATTAAATTCTGGGAATTTTTCATCATTTTATCTTCTAAATTATTCAAATTGCCGTTTAAATTGTCTTGCAATTCCCGGGAATTTTCTGTAATTTTGTCATTCAAACTGTCTTCTAATTTTTGAGAGTTTTCCGTCATTTTATCTTCTAATTTTTGTAGGCACGAGTCAAGGTCACTCACCTTCGAACTCAAAGCAAAATGTGTCCGGATCCTCGCCTTCCTCCCTCAAAACGTCTCTCAGTCTGGTTTGCAAAATGCTTTTCTTTCCATCTGTCTCGCACTCTCTCTTCTTCAATATGGATTTCAGTTCGGACACTTTCAAGTCTTTCAACAATTTCTTCGGAGCCATTGTTAGTCTTTTTTATTTTTCTAGTCTATCACACACGCCACACCTGACACCAATTGTTACGTTTTCGTCGGTTCCGTTGGATAGAAAGTCACAATTTATTTAAACACTATTTATTTAACACTAATTAACAAAAACAATAACGATAAAAGACTTATAGAACTATTTACAAACGATTTATAACTAACAATTTATTTTGAACTTTAGCGCGTCAACTGTACTGTTTATTTATAACTGCCCTCTCTAGGCCACAGCCGCCGGCTTTTATACCTACAGCAAAAGAAATCTAGAATAGTCCATAGATCGTTAGGTGCATAGAGAAGGTTTTGAATGTTCTCGTATGTACTAGTCCATTCCAGTGGGACTCGATTCTTCTCGAACGAATGAAAAATTACGGTGTCTATTCTTTAATGCGATGTTAAGGTCATCTGAGGGCGGGACATATAGTTAGGTTAGGTCGAGTCCACACGGGTCCGCAACAGTATGACAAAAAATATATATTTTTTTTTGTTTCGTTTCTTTGACCTGTATACTATATATTTTTTGTTTTTACTCTTGGCTTTAGGTCGTTGGGGTTGCAAAGATGTTTCTAGATTTTGTTCATTATTTTATTTTATGACGACGTTTCGACAGTATATGTCTTTTTCAAGCCTCTTGAACGTAGATTCCTACAGAGTTAAAAATTGTTAAAACTGGACAAAACACAATAACACATATTAACTATTATTTTAATTGTTTTTGGACATCACACTTTAGTATAGAGCACGTATGTATTTCCTAGCAGACCGTTCTGTATAAAACACAGTAGACATCGGGTATTGAAATGATAAATGTGTTTTATACAGAACGGTCTGCTAGGAAATACATACGTGCTCTATACTAAAGTGTGATGTCCAAAAACAATTAAAATAATAGTTAATATGTGTTATTGTGTTTGTCCAGTTTTAACAATTTTTAACTATTAAAAGTATTTGCACTTATTTAAGGCTCACCCTGTATAATATGTATTGTAAAGGAAAATAAAACAATAAACATTCAAATATTTATTTATATTATGTACAAAGAAATACTATAATAAATATTTCTTCAAAAAAGTCCTATGCAGGGTATTTCGCAACTGTAAGAAAATATACAAAATAAAATAGTTATTTTTTGTAAACACTGCTGCGTGTTAATCCAAGGGAGCTTGTCAGCAGTGATTTACTCATAAACAAATCTGCCTAGCACAGAAAAAAATGCTTAACGTTTTGAGACGCATGTATATGTTTTTCCAGGCGTCGAAAGCAAAGGAAAACAGTGAACAAAATAAAAAAAATATTTTTTTTGTTCTTAAATTAAGGAATATAAGCAAATTAACCTATAAGATATGCACACCTTATCATACACGTATCGTTTCCGGCACGTAGCCTTTCCGTTATAGAAACCGAATTGTGTACTCACATACAGGGTGGCGCCTCTCATACGACGCGGAGGCTCCAAGGAGAACGACAGTTTGTATTGAAATGAAATTTTGTGGGCATATGTAGCTTAATTCAGAGCACTTTTTTAAAAATATAGAGAGTTCTACAGGGTGTGCCCAAAAAAGTTATATATTAAAGGTGTGTTTTTTGTAATGGAACTCCCTATATATTAATTGATTTTCGGATTCTGGGAGAAAAATAAAGGTGAGTTTTATACGAGAAGTATATGACTAAAAGGTAAGGTTTTTGACATATTTAACATTTTCTAAAATTAAAGAACAATTTTTAAATTACAATAAAAGCTACCTAAATTGGAATTTACCCGGTATAGCCTAATATGTAGTTAAATTAACTATTGTATTTCAAATCAAATTAATGCAGTTAACAGGAAAGGAAGCATTTGATTGAATAATAATAATAGCTCCCGTATATAGCGTTTAACGCCTTGGGAGTAGCAAGGTACAGCTTGCTATACTAGAGCCGTTCGGTATACAAGGAAGGTAATGTGGCTAGCACTACGCTTCAACCGCCTATTATTACCTCAGGATTGTGAATCCCAAGTACTCATTTAAGGCTGAGTCGACCTAGGTACCCAAACTATTTTTATTTTAATAAAAATAGTCCGCTGATGAAATGCCGGGTGTGGGAGTCGAACCCACACCTTGAGATTGGTAGACGAGAGCCTTTGATTTCATTTAGCTAATTATAGGTTTATATCTAGTTTTAATTCTGTAATAATTAAAATGTTTTATACGTGTATCTTTTTATTACCGTTCAGTATTTTACTCTACATTCTTATTTTTTTTTAAATTAACAAAGGGTATTTCACAGCCATCTAGATTTTTTCAAATAATAAAGAATCTACTAACGCAAAATCATAAAAATTAAAATATCTAGGAAAACCTTTCTCTGAGGGGTAGGCAACCTTAATAATATTTTGAAGATATATAAATTTCCCATTCAACGCCGGAATAATATACTGGGTGTTTCATTTAAAATAAAGGAGTAACTTGCTTTTAAAACTGACTAATGTTCCATATTAATTTGACTCACCCTGTATAACTTTTCGGGTCAAATTTCAATTTGGGTTAACATACAATGGTTACTGTAATTAAATATCAGGCTATACAAGGCGAACTAAAATTTAGGTAGCTGTTATCGAAATTTAAAATTTACTCTTCATTTTCACAAAATGTGAAATATGTCAAAATCCATACATTTTAGGTATACGCTTCTTTAATAAAACTTACTTTTATTTATACAATTTTTTAAATTTAATTCAAAATATAAGAAACAACTTATTAATACTTGTATTTCCTTATTACCACTGGCAAGGTTAAGTAAAATCAATGCTACTAAATAAAACATCTATGCCAAAACTATTATAAATAAAAGTTGTTATATAACATATATAACAAATTATAATAAGCAAAATACTATATTGTGCTTTATCACTATCACATCTAAGCTTCAAAATCAAATGAGTTTATCTCATTCTAGGAACACCTCGTCTTCTGCAACTCTCGTCAGAATTCTACTGGCCAGGTCCTTAAATATCAGACCGAAGCTTTTTTCGTATCCCGGCTTTACGTCGCCGAATACTTCATCCCAGGCATCGTTCAGTACCTTAAAAACAAAAGAAAATATAATAGGAAATAATATTTACGCTCTTAAGCCAAGCCCGCACTATAGACGGGTGGAGGGAAGCTTGTAGGGTAGAGGGTGAAGGTTAATGGGTAGAGGGTAAATATACCTTGTACGCAGTAGTGGACGGAAAATTATTAGAACAATAACCAATCTAATCAAGTTCAGTTGCAAATTGTAGCTCCCGTGAGTGTCTTTAGTATCATGTCCCTTTCAACATTTGCCAGAAGACTTCTGCTCTGTGACAATTCTTATGTGAACTTTGTAAATATGGAAAATAAGAAGATGTGAGTGCATGAGTATAACTTACATAGAGACAATGATGGAGAATTTTTGCGAGTTTACAAGAAAATGCGAAATAACCCTGACACTTTTTTTAATTATGCACGTATGAGTGTAAAATCGTTTGATTTTCTACTTAATAAAGTTCAAGACAAATTAGAAAGGACGTCTACAAACTTCAGAGAAGCAATTTCTGCAGATCAATATTTTTGAATTTTTTCTTAACCCATCTGCTGGGTCCCATATAGCTTTTCGTTTAAAAAACAGCAGCAATTAATTTTTCTTCCATTTTTAGACCAAAACTACTTTACGACTGGCTGAAAATATCGAACACGCCTGATCCTCAAGTGGCTCGCTTGGCGAGTTGTTTTGTGGCTTAAGTTGGTGGAGGATTGCACTGCGGCTGGTTTGGTTAAAATCGCATGTTACGGAAACATACCTCGCGGGTTACTTGGAGGGTCGCTTGGCGCCCCGATACCCACTACCCTCCAGGCAACTTGCTTGCACTGCGGCCTCAGCTTTACACTTCAAAAAAAATACCATTAAAATTATTAAATAGTAGAAATGAGTAAAACTGCGATTCTTCAATCACAGATGAAACTGCGATTGCGATTTTCAAATCACTGAAACTGTAACCTGCGGTAGCGATTCTAATATTTAAATATTAGTATCTGTTACTAGTGGAGTGCCCAGAGACTTTTACCTTGGAATTCAATTACTGTGAATGTATTAATGTGAAACCTTCTGTATTGTGTTTTATAGATAAAATACTAAAATGTTTACCCATTTTTTTTGGTTGCTTTTAATTTTTTATTTTAGTAATTTTAGTAAATTCTTAATTTTTCCTTCTTAATATTTTGATTTTTTTAACTCTTTTTCTAAGTAAATTTATTGAAATAAATAAATTTAATTCATAAGCTATACCTATTCTGCTTATATTCTAATCATTGAAATTTTGATTGAAATCGAATTATACAGGGTGGCGCGTCATATACTACGCGGTTTTTGGAAGGAGAACAAAAGTTTGTATTGAAGTGAAATTTTGTGAGCTTATGTACCTAAGTCAATTTAAAGCATTTTCTAAAATGATATAGAGTTCTACAGGGTGTCCCCAAAAAAAGTTAAACATCAAAGTTATGTTTTTTGTAATAGAACACCATATGTATTAATTGATTTTTGGATTCTAGTAAGAAAATAAAGGTTTGTTTCATTAGAAAAGTATATGACTAAAATGTATAGTTTTTGAAATACATTCACCGGCACGAAAAATAGGCACCTTAAAACTTTGATGTATTTTAAAGGTTAATATATTTTATTTTAATGGGCCGATTTTGATGATTTTTTAAGCAATGTGTTGCCAAGTTATTTGACTTTTTAGTATATTTTTTTAGATTAAAAATGAAACTCCCCATCTCTTAATTATACGAGGGAAAACAAAATGTTGATATTTTTGTAAAATTTTGAAACACCCTGTGAAATATGTTAAAACAGCAAGAAAATTAAAAATCATCTTATCATCTAGATACATCCTTTCTCGATGGTTTGTTTTTTGGTTCATCTCATTAGCTTTATTTTTGTTGGAAATATTCGGTTTTAAAGAAGGCACTAACATTTTTTCGTAATTTTTACATTAAGACCATGCCTTTGCTTTTGGGCCTAGTCAACACATCTGGGTCTGGCAGGCCTTCTTGACATAAGATTTGCTTCATTTAATCTTCTTCTTGTAGTCCGTTAGTTAATATGTACGGTCCTTAAGTGCAATTCATTATTAATTCGAAAAGCTGGCAAACGGCGGTTTCTTAGCGATAAACTTACAATAAGTCGATCGTCTCGATTAGAAGTTCTCATACGAAGGTTCCTGGACGTCTAGATTGACGTCCTCATGGACGTGGTTATAATCCAAAGACCATTTAATATACTCTATGGTGTTAAGGTATTTTTGGAACCGGAATTTTATAGCAAATTCACTGAACTCGAATAAATAAATGATATATTTGACTCACCCTGTATATCTATAAAAATATTTTTGAAATGTTCCCAAATCACTACCATTAAACATATATTTTGTAAAAGGTTTGAAGTAAAAATCTCAAATAGAAATCCTGATATAGAGCTTTTCCGGAATACGGAGCCATCTTGTATGTATGCATTTGTATAATGTGTGTTTATTTAGAAAATAAATGTGTATTTAGGAAATAAATACAAGAAAAACTAAATATCTACCTATTGGTGCAGAACTATCTCGCGTACATCTAGAAAATGAAGAGATAGAATGCAAAGATAGCCTGCAATGACTACACCTATCTAGGAGTGATATTTGATACAACAGCTAAAGATGACAAAGAAATTAAAAAACGAATATCACAAGCTAGAAGAACAATTGGCTGTCTGAATGGAGTATTTTGGAGTAATGAAATAGGGAAGAAACGGAAGATCAATATATACGAGACCCTGGTAAAGAGCAGTCTACTTTATGGTGCAGAGACTTGGCGAATAACTGAAGAAAACTGGAAGCGGTAGAAATGGATGCCTATAGAAGAACCTTAGGAATTTCCCGAAGAGATAGAGTCCGAAACGAAGAAATCCAACAGAGGATAGGAATAGAGGGATCTTTGGCAACCGACATCGAACGCCAACAACTTATGTGGTACGGACATGTCCAGAGGATGGATGACACACGACTTCCAAAACAAATTATGCAATGGATACCCCAACATCGAAGAAAACGTGGAAGACCTAAGAAGACTTGGAAGGAGGGTGTCACAAGAGCAATGAGTGCCAGAAATCTAAGCGAGGGACAATGGAACGATCGGAAGACGTGGAAGTTAGGCATCGGACAACGTCGCAAGACGTTCTAAACCGATTTTTTTGGTGTTTCTTTCTAATATCCCCTCCCCCAAGATTGTTTATTTAACTAAACATAAAAACTCCAAAAAATATTTCAAAAAATATAAAAATTATAAAACAACTCATAGACTTTTTTCTGGGGTCGAAATATATTACCTCTAAAAATATTTGCACTTATTAAGACTCGCCCTATATTTATAAATTAAATATTATAATGTTTTCGAAAAAAAATGGAGTGTGCATCAATTTAATTTTTTGAACTTAGCGTTTAGTACTTTAGTATTTTAATATCTCTTTCTAGAGTCGTTTAAAAGGCAAATAAAATAATAATAATATATATATATATATATATATATATATATATATATATATATATATATATATATATATATATATATATATATAGTGTTTATTTAAATACTAAAGTGAAAGAAACGAATTTAAATGGGTAAACTTTGTAATATATCTTATTAACAATACAATGCAAAAAGTTTTATAAAAATTCGTTAACAGTAAATGAATTCCGAGGTTTGTATCCCATAAGGGCTTAAAGCACTCCACTATACGGCTAAAATGGATACTTTAAAAACTAGCCAGCTATTTTGAAAAAAGCGCTTTTATTTTGTTGGTTAGGTGTTTTGTTTGTGGTATTGGTTTTGCTGTTTGTTTGCGAAATAGCTGGCTAGTTTGATAACTAGCCAAGTATCCATTTTAGCCGTAACATATCTACTAGGTATACAATTGTCTGCTTATGTTTGTATAACCTAAAAGTTAAGGAGTTGTGTTTATTTTTACATTGTTTATTGTCGTTCACAACAATGAATAATTACAGTTATTTTGTTTTTAACATCTGCAACACTTATTATAGGTATTAAAACCTTATATGTAATATATTATGGTCCAACTACTGCAACTATACCGGGTGTTTCAAAAAACATGTGCTATATCTCGTGGGGAGATTCCTCACGTAAAAATAAGTTTTATTTTTCATATCAACGTAGGTCCGATTCTGCTTTGTTTCGTAGCTACAGGGTGTTAAAGTCTTAATAATCTTTCGATTTATTATAATTTTCTTCGAAGTACTTTTAGTGAATCGCATTAAATTTTGAAGGTAAAAGTTACTATAAATGCTACATATTATTTATTGCTAAAAAAGTGTCGATAAATTCATCAGGGTCGTATATGGGTTATCAATGGAATGTTTAAAAAAAAGTGTGGGCCACTGACTTTTTTCTTTTGATATCAAAATTATGTAAGCCGTTTAATGCCAATTAAAAGTTATCTCTTGATATTTTGTCGAATTCGGCCTCCTTGATGAGATAAATGCAATTTTATTAATCACAATACAATAATTACAATAAAAATAAAATAAATAATTTATATATTTTACTTAATTTATTATTAAATATTATTACTATTGGTCCAACCTATAGCAATTTCAAATAAAAGTAATGGTATTTAAAATAATTACAAATTTTTTTAAGAAGTTTTAACATCCTGGAACTCTAAAACTATGCATTTCCATATCCATGATTATAGGAACTTTTTTATATTTTTTGATAAACAATCAGTGAGTACCTACTTATATAAAACTTTCGCAAGTTAATTATATTAAAATTTTTAAAGGTTGCTATTAGACTTGGATCAAGGCAAATTAATAAAATTGCGTTTGATGATCTCATCAAGGAAGCCGAAATCGACAAAATATCAAGAGACAACTTTTAATCGGCACTAAACTGCTTACACTATTTCGCTAAAAAGAACAAAAAAATCAGTGGCGTACATGTTTTTGTAGAAAAATATTCCAGTGATAACCCATACGCACGTCCCTGGTGAATATATTATAACACTTTTTTAGCTTTAAAACATGTCGCATTTATAGTAACATTTACCCTCAAAAATTCATTCGAAACGCTAAATTACTTTGAAAAAAATTATAATAAATCGAAAAAATATTAAGACTAACATCCTGTAGCTACGAAACAAAGCAAAAAATATATTTGTACTTACTTTATTAATATTATCACCTAGTTCCTTTTGACCATCAAACAAATTATCAAACTTGAAAATGACTCTATCAGGCTCCATGGATACTTTAAAATCGACAGGTTTCAAAAATGTTTTGCCTTTTTTCTGTATTTTCTCCCATGTCAGCGTATGAAGAATCTTCATGTTCACTATAGAATGAAATAAAACTAGTAAAGCATTGCATTGCTTATAATAATAATAAAAATACAAAAAAAATGTATGTATGTATTTCTTACATAGGGTAACATTACATGGTCCTTGTCCATAGATTGGCAAAAGCAGCACTCGCCCTTTCATATCATAATCTCCTTGGAGTCTCAGTTCTGGATTAGTAGATTGAGCTACAAGCTGGTTCTTCTCGAAATCAACACTAAAACAAGGTATTTGCGTTAATATGTGACAGCAGTTTTGATATACCTACAATTTGTCCCCGGATTGTCTTTACAAGAGAGTTTTTTTATTATTATCATATTAAGAAAAATGCATTCTTTATAATAATGTTTGTTTGCTCTAAATTATTGAATTTCATTTATACTTTTCCAAATTTTCATACTGTTGTAGAGAAAATTAAGAAAATATGAAAATATGGTTCAATTCGATTGAAGTAAAAATCAAAACGCGTTTCTATGGTAATATCATTTCGTTTTCATTCTTTCGTAGATGGTTATTATTAAAATGTTAAATGCACATAACATATTTATTAAATTCAATATTACAAAAGGGGTAACATCAAAAAATATCAAATCAACCATTTATCAAAAAATGAAAACCAAATTATCTTAACATAATTATATTACCATAAAATTTTTATAGAGAATGCATTTTTCTCAAACTGTCAAAAACAAAAGAGTTTTTCCTCTTGTAAAGACGATCCGAGAATAAGTGCAAGTATTTTAACAGGTAGTATAGTTCAACCCCAGAAACACGCCTATGAGGTTTATTCGCGAAAAAGAAATTGAAAATTGGAAATTGTTTTGGAATTTTTTTTAGTTTTTAGTTAAAAAACATAATTTCTTGATAATATGGCAACATAGGTATTAGATTAAATTTACAAGAAAAAAAATCCAGAAAAGATTCAGTGGTTCTCAAAATTTTGGCAAAAAATCATTTTTTTTTTGAAAAATTTCAAAGTAAAATAACTCCGTTGTTTTGGACTTATTTGAAAAACGATAAAGAGAAAATATCTTTCTTTTATCGAAATCTACCACCCCTTAAAATTTTGCACTTATTTCTGGGACACTCTGTATATTGCATGCAAGAAAAATATTATTTCCCCTAAAAATAATATGTAATACGCTTTCCTATAAAACACGTATGTATTTATTGTAAATATTAAATAACATTAACAGTAATAGTGTACAGGGTGGGTCAAATTCGTAGTCAAATAGTGTACAGGGTGGGTCAAACGCTTTTAAATGGAAACACCCTTTTTTATAGGAGATAGACGAAAACTAATATCGGTGTCTGGGGCTCAATTTTTATCAAAAACATGATGGTGAAAACCGCACATCAATATCATTTACTTAGCCCGTAGTCTTCATTATTTTACACTTACACAAAAAACGTCTTTTTTCATTTGACTGATGGTATAATGTAACCATCACCGTACTTATATCTACTAATTTTTATTAGTGATTTTGATTTATAACAGGAGACATCAACAGGCAATTAAAACAAGAACCTTATACACTCGCCAGCACGAAAAACAGTCCCTTTCTAAATTAAAAATGAAAAAAAAATGACGAGTAATAGTTTGATTTTTCAAAGACAGTGGCATTACATAAATCATAAACACTATTTTATAGGTCTATTGACTAGAACCAAAATTGTATGGCGTTAATGTAAAAAATTTGAAAAAATGTTTGTGTCTTCTTCAAAAGCGAATATCTCAAAAAAATAAAGCTAATAAGATGAATCAAAAAACAAACTATCGAGAAAAGATATACCAAGATGACAAAATTATGTTTTAATTCCTTGCTTATCCTTATCGTACTCCACAGGGTGTTTCAAACTTTCACCCAAATATCAAAATTTTGTTTTCTCTCGCATAATTGACAAATGACAACTTTAATTTTTAATTTAGAAAGAGATATTAAAATGCCAAATAATTTAGCTACAAATCGCTTAAAAATGCATCAATATCGGTCCACTGGAACACAATATATGTATAAAACTTTAAAATACATAAAAATTTTAAAGTGCCCGTTTTTCGTGTATTTTTTGTATGTCATATTTTAAAATTTAATTGTCGAATTGAGATTAAGAGATAAATAAACCTAATAAGCTAATAAGCAGTAGAGTATACTACAATACTAAATAGATTAAAAATATAGACTGAGATAAGTGCCAATATTTTCACAGGGCTGAGCTGGTAGATCTCGATAGAAATAAAACATATTTTCTCTTTACCCATGTAAATAATAGTCCTATTTATGTCTTTACCGTTTTTCGAGTTATTGTACTTGGAAAATTAAAAAAATGATTTTGTGTTTCTCAAAATTAAATTTTGAGAAACACTTTTTTGGTGTTTCTTTCTAATATCCCCTCCCCCAAGAATGTTTTTTTAACTAAACATAAAAACTCCAAAAAATATTTCAAAAAATATAAAAATTACATAACAACTCATAGACTTTTTTCTGGGGTCGAAATATATTACCTCTAAAAATATTTGCACTTATTAAGACTTGCCCTATATTTATAAATTAAATATTATAATGTTTTCGAAAAAAAATGGAGTTTGCATCAATTTAATTTTTTAGACTTAGTGTTTAGTACTTTAGTATTTTAATATCTCTTTTTAGAGTCGTTTAAAAGGCAAATAAAATAATAATATATATATATATATATATATATATATATATATATATATATATATATATATATATATATATATATATATATATATATATATATATATATATATACATATATACAATGCATTTTCCTAGCATCTTATATTAGCAAATAGTTGCAATCAGTACTTTATGCTGACACACACATGGTGAATATTAAAAAGCACTTAAATAAAATCAATATTTAATTACCGGCTTTGTTTCAATGATGCCTATGTTTCCTTTACTAATTACACTGCCATTATTAACTTTTTAATATAACAATATGGACATGTAATTTTACCATAAATATTTAAAATAAGTAAATCTATTATTAATTTTTATTATTTTATTTTAAATGTCTTTTTTCCATAGCAACTGTTAAAATTGCCTTATATCTATCAAAAATAGTAGATAAAATAGTACTTTAACCGCAAGGGTAGATTAAAAATGATACTTTAACAGCTAGGATAGGTTAAAAATGTTATTTCTTCTCGCACGTTTTTTAATTGCTTCAATTTTTGAAAATTTTTGTATTCCTTTTCATAAGTTATTCGGGATTTAAATGGAAGTAGTTTGTATATGGCGTTTGTCGCCTCAGCCTGAATATCTGTTGGTAATTTACTTAATTCGTTTTGAGCCATTTCTGGCTCCAATTCAATCGACACCAAAGAGAATTAAAAAATATTGACTCAAAACTGACAACTAACAAGAGACAGTTTTATTTATTGGTACACCCGGTATTATATTCAGTTCCTACTATACCCTATATAATTATGTTTCTACTTGTCCAATTTAGATATTTTTCACATTTTAATCAATATTAGCTTTTGTATCACGTTCAAGACCAATTTCTACGCGAACAATAATTTTTCAATAAAATAAGGCTACGCTGGCCCACTGTGCGACGATAAAATTGCATTATCGTCTCCCGAAATTAATTCACTAGCCATTTTATGGCTCGTGAATTAATCTTTTCGGTCGACGATAAAATACCATTTTATCGTCTTGTATAAAAAATAACTAAGTTAATTGTTTTAAGTGATTTCCGTTGAAAGCACAAATTTCTCAACATTATACTCGTACCATTATTAGAAGTCGTTTCCACATCATCTTTCTTATTGTTATAATTTTATATACTTATGCTTTAACCGTAGAAAATTATAGTTTTTGACACATTAATTTGATTAGAACACGCATCTTAAGCGTATATTTGGTAAAGTAGTTAAAATAATTATCATAAGAAAAAACTGCTCATTTGACCTTGTCCTATATTTTATCCAATACAAAAATATTTTGGGTAGAATACTAATTTATATATCACCATCATGACCATTTTCAGCTTATTTGGTCATTTCTAATTGTGGTGTAGTCTCCCTCACATATTTAGATACTCTCTTTGTAGTTCATTGTTGCTCATTGTAATCTATTGTCTATGCGGGCCCAAGTTATCCCTGCTAATTTCCTAATATCATGGTCCCATCTCAGGTTTGGTCTCCTAGATCTCTTTATTCCTCGTGGGTACCATGCTATAATTTTTGTGGTCCATCTGTTGTCCGTCCTTCTTGCAAGGTGTCCTGCCCATTTCCACTTGAGGGATTTGATTCTGTGGATGACATCTATTACCTGGTTCCTTTTGTGGTATCCACTCTATTCTTTTACGGTCTTTTTTTGGGTATTCCTAGAATATTTCGTTCCATTGAGCGTTGAGCCAACCTGCAGTTTCCTTATAATGTCCATTTTAAGTGTCCACGTTTCGCATGCATAGGTCATGACTGGTAGTACAAATTGGTCGAGTGTTTTCTTCTTTAGATAAAGTGGCATTCTAGATTTGAATATGATTGAGTTTCTTCCATATTTCTTCCATTACTTCTTAATCACCATCAAATCTTGGTGCGATTCGAACCTCCTGAGTCTCAACATTTCTTAAACTAAAGCTTTGTCGTATAAAAACTCGCTGCAGCCTTTTGTACTTAACAACACCACCACTGACCTCGTAAAATCTGTAAAATTCTTAGGGCTTGTTGTAGACAATTCTCTGAAATGGGACATACATATTGACACTTTGTCGAAAAAATTAAGCACTGCCTGTTTTGTATTAAGATCTGATTCTAAGGAGCTTAACTTGTCGGTGGCTAGAATTGTTTATTATGCACTTTTTGAGTCGCACCTCAGATATGCCCTTCCATTCTGGGGTACGTGTTGTGCGTCTCAATTTGACCGCATTTTCAAGCTCCAGAATAGAGCTGTTCGATATTCACTGGGACTAAACAGCAGAACTCATTGCCAGGACTTTTTTAAAAAATTAAAAATATTAACTCTTCCTTCCTTATTTATATTTGAATCCGTTTGCCTAATACGTAAGCATGTATCAGCTTCTCAAGAAAGGCCATCTCAAACTTATCCACTCAGCAACGCGGAGCAAGATCTGTATCTCCCTACCCCACAATCAGAGTTAGTTAAAAGTTCAATATTATACAACTCAAAAAAAATGCACAATCACACCTACCATTTGAAATCAAATCCATAACATCATTTTCTTCATTTCGCAAAGCATTGAAATCTTATTTACTGGACAAGGCTTTCTACGCCGCGCGCCGTAAATGACTTATATTTTGATAATCGAATTTGATCTTGTAAACACTGGTCTAATGTTTGCCATTACTACATAATATTTACCAATGACATCGAGGTTGATATTTAGTATAAACTTACTAAATATTTTTGAATCTTACACATTGTAAACATTTATAAATGTTTATTTTAAACAATAAGACAATGTTATTTGTATAATGTTTTGTATTCTCTTTTGTTTGTTTGTTTGTTTACTTTACCTTTTACCTTAACATTTATTTATTTATTTATTCTATAAATCTAAAGGGCTTATGGCTTGATTGGTTATATTTCTTCAACATACCTTTTCCATCTGGTTCTTTGTCTACCCCTCCTTCTCTTTCCACCTATTTTACGTCTCATTATCGTTTTAGAACTTTTGTTTCAGCAATTCTGTCAATATGTCCTAGCGCGCCGTCTCAGTCTTTGTGCTCTTGCTACTCCCGTTATACTCGGTGCCACGAAACTTATTAAGTACTATTACAATAATTAAGTACTATTATTACACAGTAGCTAATATAGGGATTATATGAATAAAAATAAATGGCAAATTTGTATATCTGGCGTGAAGGGTTAAGGCGGAGTGACGGGGTCAAAGTTCAAAGTGTACTTGGATCAAGTATAATTGTTTAAGTACACAGGTATAAATTATTCGAAACATAAGTACACAGATATAAATTATTCGAAAAAGAAAATAAAAATCAATCACCAAATGTAATATTTTAAACACTTGATGAAATTATAATGAACATAATTTTAGTTACAATTTTAGCATAAAACAACTAGTAAAAGGCAATATCTACTTACTTTACTTTTTGAACATCGACATTAGTTAATCCGAACAATTTTACATTCTTGAAATGTTGTGCCACATTTACTGGTCCTTTACCTTGTCCAATATACAATTCAGGAATGTCTAGTGGGTCCAAAGCATTCATTCCAAGTTCGGGAGTAGCTGTAAATTAGATAATTGTATTTAGAGTTATTAAATTTAAATTATTTTAATATTATATTATTATTATTTAATTTAATTATTTATTACTAAACTTGAAAAAAATCAATAATATATTAAATATCAATTATACCCAGAGCTGCAAGCTCACAGAAAACTTAAGTCTTTTTTGATTTAAATAAGTTATTTTTTGAAAGCTGACTTAAGACTTAAAGTTTAAGTCTTTTTCAAAATGATTTGTGATTTAAACCTTTATTCCGAAATAAACAACGTTAAACATGATATTCTCCTAAACAGACTGCTCGAGATAGGAATAGACGCCAAAGACATTAGAATCATATAGGAACTATATTGGAACTAAACCGCGGAGATAAGAGTTAACAAAAATTTATCCACAGACACCTTCAATGTGTGTAAAGGAGTCCGCCAGGGCTGTATACTGTCACCAATACTTTTTAATATATACGTCGAAAAGATATTTCAAATGGCCCTGGAAGAAGAAAGTGGAGGAATTAAGATTAGCGGAGTTCCAATTAACAATATAAGATATGGAGATCATACGGCAATCCTAGCACCAACTTTAGAGGATCTCCAGCAAATAATAAATAAGATAGAGGACATGAGAAATCGTTTCGGTCTTAAAATCAACGCTACCAAGACCAAACTTATGGTAATAGGACGCCAGCCTATAATCAACACCGCATTGACGGTGGATGGAAATATTATAGAGCGAGTACCACGATTTAAATATCTAGGTGCTATGATCAATGAACGATGGGAGTGCGATGAGGAAGTTAAACTTATAAAAATAAACATTTTTTGAACTTAAAAACTTCCTATTAGCACGCAGTCTCCCGCTAGCACTTAGACTACGGGTAGTAAAATGCTACATATGGCCCATTTTACTATACGGCGCAGAAACATGGTCTCTCAAGGCTAGAACCCTGAACCGCATCGAGGCTTTCGAGATGTGGACTCTCCGGAGACTCTTACGTGTACCATGGACCGCACATGCCACCAACGAAGAAGTTTTAAGAACTGCAAGTTATGAACGAGTAATGCTTAATATAGTTAAAGAAAGAAAAGTTTCATACCTTGGCCATATCCTTAGAGGAGAAAAATATTACATTCCTAAGCTGATTCTGCAAGGAAAAATAGAGGGACGGCGAGGTCCAAGAAGAAAACAACATTCCTGGCTAAGAAACATACGGAATTGATGTAACATCAGCGACGCAGCCACCATAATTCGAAGAGCCGAAAACGGCACTCTACACATTGTATGAAGAGTACAGACAATCGCCAACGTGCGGCTAAGCACAAGGCACAGAAAGAAGAAGAAGAATTCCGAAATTGATAAAGATTTAAGTCTTTTTAGAAAAGACTTAAGTCATTAAAAAGATTTGAGTTTTTTTATAAAAAGCTTAAGTCAGATTTTTATACAGGGTTTTTATACAGGTCACAACCTCATTCGCCTCGGTTGATTATACGAAAACGGAAAGATGTAGAAACAAAATATTTTATGGGTATATATTGGGAGGCAATGTGTACAATTTAAAATTATTTTGAAATATACAGGGTGTCTCAGAACTAAGATTCATACCAAAGTTATATTTTTTCTTATAGAACACCCGGTATTTTATTTCATTTTTGGATTCTTGGGCCCAAAAAAAGGCATTTATTATAAGGGTTAAATATTTTAAAATCATTGGTTTTTGAGTTATTTAAAGATATTTAAATATGCATGCTACAAGAGAATTGATTATCATCACCCTGTACATTACTTTTCAGAATTAATTCTTGTGCTGAGTTTAAAGGTAAAGAAATAAACTTTACTGAAAAATGTTATTGTTTTCTTAAATTTATACAGGGATACCAAAAAGTAGTGATCTATTTTACGATTTATTTTACATAAAAACTTTGTTATTTCAAATGCAACACCCTGTATTTCTTAAACAAATCAGAGCAGATTCAAATGCTCTTTCAAACTATATAGGGTTTCCTATACCTATCTATCTCAGATTTTGTAATAAAAAGCGATTTTTAAATTAAATGGCAATCAAGATGGCTGTTATCGCCATGGCAATTTTCTAGTGACAGTTACTAACTATTTTCAAAATCGACATTAGTGTATGGACATTATTATTTAAACAGTTTACTAAAATTTACCTACAATAGCTTAATAAGTAAGTATTCTTTATTTTATGAAGAAAAATAAAGCCATATGTGCTGGTGGAAAGAATAGATATGTTACTAGTGATTTTGTTTTGTGAGGAAAATTATTTCTTAGCCTCAAGAGCTAATGCTCAAAGATATCCAAATAGGAATCTTCCTGATAAGCGTTCCTTTGAAAAACTACTTGTTCTATTTCCTATTTCGCAGAATTGGTAGTGTAGTTTATAAAAAACCTATTAGGCAGAAACCTGTCGTTGGAAGTGAAGAAATTGAATTTGCCATAATTGGCTCTTTTATAAAAAAAATTCATATATCTACAAGTTATCGTAAAACAAAACAAAGAACTAAGTACTTCTTCGTTTTCCTTGATAGAATAATAAATACATATTAATAAATATTATTTATTAAACTATTGTAGGTCAATTAAATAAAAGTAAACTGGTATAGATTTAAATAAAGTCTATAAACTAATGTCGATTTTGAAAATAGTTACTGTCACTAGAAAATTGCCATGGCGATACCAGCCGTCTTGATTGCCATTTTATTTAAAAATCGGTTTTTATTCGAAATCTGAGATAGATAGGTATAGGAAACCCTAATATAGTTTGAAAGAGCATTTTAATCTGCTTCGATTTATTTAAAAAATACAGGGTGTTGCATTTGAAATAACAAAGTTTTTATGTAAAATAAATATTTAAAACAGACCAGCAATTATTGATACCCCTGTATACATTAAACGAAGCAATCAAATTTTTCAGTAAAGGTTATTACTTTGCCTTTAAACTCAGCACAAGAATTAATTCTGAAAAAGTAATGTACAGGGTATTGATAATCAATTCTCTTGTAGCTTGCATATTTAAATATCTTTAAATATCTCAAAAACCAATAATTTTAAATATATTTAACCCTTATAATAAATATCTTTTTTTGGACCCAAGAATCCAAAAATGAAATAAAATTCCGGGTGTTCCATAAGAAGAAATATAACTTTGGTATGGATCCTAGTTCTGAGACACCCTGTATATTTCAAAATAATTTTAAATTGTGCATATTGACTCCCCACATATACCCATGAAATATTTTGTTTCTACATCTTTCCGTTTTCGTATAATCAAACGAGGCGAATGAGGTGCGCCACCCTGTATATGTATTTTTATGACAAATTTTGAACAGCAGCATTTCTTTCTAAACTGTTAAGTTGCTGCCAAGCAGCAGAATAAAAAAAAAACAATGCTCAATACCACTAGCAAATAAAATGTTAGTTTTTCGGAACCGGTCTTGATTATTTGTCATGCGTAGTGAGTCTGTTGTCTTTCAAGTGATTCCCCGACTCCGTTATGTAGCCTGAAAGACGAACGAAAGAAATTTATCTCGAATATATTGAAGAGTACCTTAAACCCTCCAACCCTTAGCTGATGCCATCGATATATCACATGGAGATCAAAACACATCACCACTTTTTAATAGACATGTATTCGATGATATTCTGAATCTGGTTGTCTTTACTTGAGGGTAATTATATTATTTAAGTCATTTTACTGACTTAACTTGCAAATTATCATGATTTAAGTCAAAATATAGGCTTAAGTCATAAAAACGTCTTAAATAACGTTATATTGATTGAAATAAAACGATTTACTCGTAAGTCAAAGACTAATGACTTAAATTATTTGAACTTTATGTTGAATTTGACTTAAATCATTTTGATTTTAGAAATGATTTAAAGCTTAGGCCTTTTTAAAACTGACTTGTTGCAACTCTGATTATACCAAGTTGAAAATATATCTGCAAAATTTAACATTCTTATTTTCTGAAATATATTTCTGCTTTGAATTCAAGGAACTAGGACAAATTACTAACTAAATACGAGGGCATGCTATAAAAGTAAATGTAAAAAAATTGACTTTGTTGAAATGTCATATACATATTTCTAGCAGTACCACTTTTTCATTCTATATGAGATGGATGAAAAATAATATAAACTTTACTATTTGAAAAAGTAATATTTTAATGATATTACTGTTACGAAATAATAAAAATTTCCATCTATAAGATTAAATAAAATCCAATCCAGTCCTTTAGCCAATAATGTTCTCGAACTAACTCATATCATTCACGTAAAAACAGTAAATCCTTGACATTTTTTAGACCGAGAGTTTCAAAAGATCGCCCCAAAAAATGGTTTATACTTATTACGGTGTAGAATTTCACCTGGTTCAAAATCATTAACTGATGCTGCAAGCAAATGGAAAATTTTAAATTAATTTTATACGTTATAGTAAAATTGTAACATTTTCAATTTTTTTAAAATTATTTGTTATTTTTTTAAACGTTTTTAATAAATTTGTTCCATCTTTATTAAATTAATTTTATTACAATATAAATAAATGTTGATACTTACGATATCGGAGTTTGCGAATGGCATCTTCGACATTTTTTCTTAGGCATGTTGAAAAGTCCTTGTCCGATTTGTGGCACCTTCCCCAAGATGAAGCTAGAAGCAAATATTACAATATACCTACTGACAATAACAAAGTTAATTTATACTAATATAATATAAAATCCTTAAGTGACTGACTCACTGATTAATCACGATCCTGCTCAAACTACTCAACGTAAGAAGCTCAATTTTGGCATACAGGTTGATTCTAGGGTGTAGAGGTTCGATAAGAAGGGATTTTTCGGAATTCCAGTTCCAAGGGGGTGAAACCACTCCTCAAATATTACAATATTTTTTATTTAAAAAACGGTCAAGTTTCCGAAAAAACGCTTAAACACGTATATTTTATTTTGTTTTTTACATATTTTAAGATTTTTTTAAAAATGTATACAGGGTGTTTCGAAAAATCTGGTCATTGATTAATCACGATCCTGCTTAAAGCGCATGACGTAAAAAGCTGATTTTTGAAAACGGATTGACTTTAGGGTGTAGAGGTTTGATAAGAAAGGATTTTTCAAAACTCGAATTCTAAGGGGGTGAAATCACCCCTCAAATATTAGAATATTTTTTTTATTTAAAAACCGGTGAGTTTTTCGAAAAAACTCTTAAACACGTATATTTTATTTTGTTGCTTTACATATTTTAAGATTTTGTAAAAATTTATACAGGGTGTTTCATAAAATATGACCATTGAGTAATCACGATTCTGCTTAAACTGCTTGACGTTTAAAGCTGATATTTGGCAAACGGATTGTCTGTGGGGTGTAGAGGTTCGATAAGAAGGGGTTTTTCGAATCTCAAATTCCAAGAGGGTGAAAACGCCCCTCAAATATTACAATATTTCTTATTTAAAAAACGGTTAGTCTTTCGGGAAAACGCTTGGACTCGCATAATTTATTTTGTTTTTTTTTACATATTTTGAAATTATTTAAAAAATTATACAGGGTGTTCCAAAAAGTTGGGTAATTGATTAACCACGATTCTGCTTAAACTGCTTGACGTAAAAAGCTTATTTTTGGCAAACGGATTTTTCGAAAGTCAAATTCCAACGAGATGAAACTACCCCTCAAATCTTACCAAGTTATATAATAATATCGCCATATTGTTTTTTCTCATGCTGACATAAATGTGAAACAATTTTATCCAGTTTGTATGTTAATGGAAATTCTTGCTTTGCTTTATCATCATCAATACAAATGATTAATTCGACGCGAACAAAGTCGCCGGTACACGCTAGTAAGGAATATAAAGATATAAATAGCCAAAAGATATAACATACAGGGTGGTCCGAATTGTAGTGGGGAAACTTCGGCATTATTTTCTGCGAATAAAAATAAGTAAAAAAGTTCATATAAATTAAATTAAGTGTTGTCGGAGTATTTTTGGACATGAAAAATTCAATTTCGTTATTGTGTTGTTAGTATGAGGCCTACTTGTAGAGAGCGCTGCCTACTTCTTCTTTTGCTGATTTGAAGAGTAATATCTTTTGGTCCATACCTTTATTACACTACTGAGTGAAAAAATATATATTTCCGCCGTATTTTACTTAAAAAAATCTAGTCAACATATTGTACAAAATACTACTAGTCGTTTCTAGTCAACATAGTGTACAAAATTATAAATTTTTCATGAGCTTATGGCATTCACATCTTCGTTTACATATAGCCATACAAGGTAAGCGAGTATAACTGCTTAAATTTTAAGAACCACTAGATTTTCTGTGTTTTTTTACTTCTAAATTAAATCTTTTGAAGAATTTAATTTTTTAAAGTATAGGATAGATGCTTCAATATTATCAAGATATATTTTTTAATAATTCTTTATTTTTGTTTTTACAAAAAACTTCCTTGACGTGTTCTTGGGGTCGAAACTTTAAAAATATGTTCACTTATCCTACACTTATCGTGTATGAGCACAGTCAAAATAAATTGTAAATAATTGTCTATTTGGCTTGGAACTGACGATCCATTGAGATTCACTACATGTATATAATATTGCATCTAAAGTAAAGGTAAGGTTCTAATTTCCAAGTTATATCTGACGCTATTTTTTCGATGGTGTAATATTTATTTAACTATATGTAATAGAGCATATTCTTATTTTGGAGGTAATTTTTGGAAATTTTATTTATAACTCTTTTTTAATTTTAAATACCTACATTTTGATAAATAATATTTTTTATTTTTTTTATATCTTAAATAATATGTAAAGTAAACCAATATTAGTATATAAATATGATGTCAAGTTGGTAGATACTGAAACGGTATTAAGTGTTCAATCCTGTATATAATGATAAATACAATTTTCTTTTACCATAATTATTAACTCTTTGTCACCTCTCTCTTATGTTTACTTATGTAAATAATGCTGCAATCGACAAAGTAATTAATATTTATATAGTAATTTTCCAACAATTTTTCATATTTTCTGACAAGATGACAAGTATACCTACCACAAATATTGACACTTTACTATACTTGAAAAATCTTCATAGTCTATATAGGTAAAAAACATAATAACAATGTTTCCATAACCTTTGACTATTACTAGTAGTTTTTTATGACCTTTGAAAAATAAAGATACGCAACATTATATACATATACATATTTTCATTGCTGAGTCTAATCTTTAGAGAAAGAAATTATGATCGAAAAAAAAATTGATATGTTAAAAAATCCAGTACCTTTATAATTTTCAATGTACTAAGAAGTTCATAAGGTTTTAATAGGAATTTGCAAGGAGTTTTTTATTATATCGTAAGATTATCCTATCTTATTTTCTTTAGACAACTCTTGTTAACATGGTTAATGGAGTACTTACACCGATTTTGATGAAATTTTATATGTATATTATTGTATATTCAGTAGGTCTGAGAATAAGGGCAAAATTATTTTTTGTTATGTGGCATTAATTTTTTGAATAATTTTTTTTATTTTTTTTTATGATGTGGCATTAAAAAATACATACAACCCTAAATTTCCACCATTCTACCATCAACCCCCATTTTTAATAGGGTTTTTTTAATAGTTTTAGTTACCATACTTCTCCGAAACGGAGTGACCGATTTTGATAAAATTTTATTTGTATATTCAGTAGGTCTGAGAATAGATTGTTATCTATTTTTATATCCCTAAGTGATAAGGGTGGTGAGTCATTTTTTTTACTTTTTTATGATGTGACATTAAAAAATACAGACAACCCTAAATTTTCACCCCTCTACCATCAACCCCTATATTTTACTAGCTATATTAGTAATTCAATAATTTTAATTTAACAACAGTTTTTAAAAAATATTAAAATACCTCAAACTAAAAATGTGAATATGATTGGGTATATACCGGGTATAATGGTATTTACCCAAATTCATTATACCATTTATTGAACCTTTGGGCATATACTGGGTGCAAAAACATGGATATTTACCCAAATTTCTATATACCGGGTACTTGCCCACCACTGGCCAGCAACGCGTAGCCTGGTCAGTTAGTTTTTCGAAAAGATTTCCTAAATTTTTAAATTTTCATTTTAAAAATATATTATCTTAATAATATGGCAATTGTATATGTAGTAGACTAAATTTAAAGAAACAAAAAAAAAACAGAAAAAAGTCTAGTGCTTCTAAAAATTAAAGAAAAAATTTATTATATCAAAAACTTTGAAGTGACATAATAACTCGGCTATATTTTGTACTTCAAAACAGCAAACGAACGGAAGTTTGAAAAGATTTACACGTATTTAATAATCACCCCAATAAAGGGTGAGTTTCCTACGATGTTCTCTATGGGTATCTCGGAAACTACTGGAGATAGAGAGTCGGTTAAATGGGGAAAGAATTGCAGTTTTGTGGGGTCATATAAACATGCGCCTTTCAGATTTTTGAAAAAGTTCATGGCTTACTAGATATTTTGAAAAAACCAACTTTCGGCTATTTTAATAATTGTCCTTAATTCCATTATAATCTATTTCAGACAAAAAGTTTTCAGATAAAAGTTGTAGATAATCACATCCTTAATGAGACTGTGTCCTCCGTTTTTTTCTAAAGCTTGTCATTTTTGACATATGACACAAACATATGTTTTTTTTAAATGGAAACCATAGTTGGCCATGACTTCATAAAAAGCGCCATTTTTTAAGCTTTTTAGCGATATAAGCTATAATATGTTTCTTTCGAAAAATTACTGAGTTATAACCAATTCTTATAATTTTTAAACAATTTCACTTAGTTAGCCATGGAAACAAGTTCAATCGTCGTTGCTCTCAGAAATGTGAAACTGTCACATCCAAACTTTATAAATTAAAATAAACAAAAATTGTAAATATGAATTTTTCAAATGAAGAAAAGCGTGTAGGATTATTGGTTCAACTTTTCTTGGCCATACATTTTCGAGGATACGTTGACCGGTGAACGTTACTTACGTCTTTTAGAAAAATTAAATTTAGATACTTGCGCTTCAATAGAATGGTTCCAACATGACTTTTATTGTGACACTCCCCCTAATAATGAAAGAAATGTTAAAAATTATTTATATCATAATTATGCAAACTCAGGGACAGGAAGAGGTGGACCAATTGCATGGGGCTCCTCGATCACCTGACCTATCCATTCTAGATTTTTTTAGGCGGTATGGTTAACAATAAGGGTTACAAAAGAACTTATGAATTAAGAGAGGCACACGAAGGCGGTACGGGAGAAGTTTATTAAAGTCGACCGGCCGTAGTCAACCGTCCTGTGGAAATTCATAAGTTGTTTCTTCATTTGAAAAATTCATATTTACAATTTTTGTTTATTTTAATTTATAAAGTTTGGATGTGACAGTTTCGCATTTCTGAGAGCAACGACGATTGAACTTGTTTCCATGGCTAACTAAGTGAAATTGTTTAAAAATTATAAGAATTGGCTATAATTCACTAATTTTTCGAAAGAAACACATAGCTTATATCGCTAAACAGCTTAAAAATGGCTTTTTTATGAAGTCATGGCCAACTATGGTTTCCATTTAAAAAAACATATGTTTGTATCATATGTCAAAAATGACAAGCTTTAGAAAAAAACGGAGGACACAATCTCATTAAGGATGTGATTATCTACAACTTGTATCTGAAAACTTTTTGTCTAAAATAGATTATAATGAAATTAGGGACAATTTTTAAAATAGCCGAAATTTGTTTTTTTTCAAAATATCTAGTAAGCCATGAACTTTTTCAAAAATCTGAAAGGCGCATGTTTATGACCCCACAAAACTGAAATTCTTTCCCCATTTAACTGACTCTCTATCTCCAGTAGTTTCCGAGATACCCATAGAGAACATCGTAGGAAACTCACCCTGTATAGATTAACAAGTAAGTAAATTTTTTAGTAACGTACTTACCTATTTGGTTTTATTTTTATATTCTCGTTAGTTTTGAAGTAGTGAAATGCCAAAAATGTATCTGCTCATAATGATATTTAAAACACGGATACTAATTGTCTAAATTCTTGTCATTATTTTATATAAACAATTTCAAACTTTTAACAAAATTAAGTCGTTAATAACATTTACATTGCACAGTATTTTTAGACGAATTAAATATACTTTGAAATGCATTAAAAATGACTAATTTAAGAAAAGGGGGCATCTTACAGTAAATTATCTAAAAAAACGTCACAACCACGACATGATGAAGAAACCTACCTAGCTTCGAAATAAAACTACACACATTCTACTTACGCAATTAAGCATATTCGTTTTAAGAGAAACAATTGTGTCATAATAATATGTTGACAATGACACATAATCTTATGTTTATCTTCGCTATTTTATGATTATTACTAATTTTCAAATAGAAGACAAGTGGATATAAAATATAAATAAATAACTTTACTAATAAAAATTAATTTGATTTTGTAAGTATTTTAAAGAATATGATTTGAAATTTTAAATCACATATTTTAATATCAATGATAATATAATAATTTATCATTATGTATTTCATAAAAATATTTTTGTGGCTATACAATTTTAAACTGTGTTTATTTGGATTTGCGTATTCTATTTTGGATTGCGGCATCTAGTAAAAATAATACCACATGATCGAAAAAAAACTGGGGCTGCGGAATGACAGTCGGTGATAATTTTGGCGCGGTAAAGCCCTAGACGTCGTTTACTTGGTCAGTACTCTGCTTTACTTTTTAATGGCGCTTACCAGTTGGTTTTAAAAAGGTTGTAATTTATTTTTTGTATTGAGTATAAATGATTAAATGATGTTTTTAAAATTCGAGAAAAATATTTATTTCGGAAATGCTTTTTTTATGCTTTTTTTAAAATTATTATCGATTGCTATCCCCAGCCGGTCTTTGACGTCGTTTTTTTTCGATCATGGTACATATTTAAATGTATATGCAAAAACATTAAAAAGTTTTTTTTATGATCAAGTGTGCTATAGTCTATACAACGAAAGGATACATGAGAGTGACAGTTGTGTCTGTCATATTATAGCATACTTATATTATAAATTATTGTATTCGCTGTCGTTTTTGGTAGTCGTCTATTGAAATCTTCCGTGACTCATTGGTTGAACTTTGATGTAAATAAATCAACAATTTTTGTAGAAAATTACATATAAGAGGTTTAAGCAATGGCAGATCCAGGGGGGGGGCTTCGGGGGATCAAGCCCCCCGGATGGGGGATCAAGCCCACGGAGGGTGCCATTTAAAAATGAAAAGTTGGAGTCATTTCCGGTGAAACAGGAAGTGACCAAAAACAATTGAATACACCAATCGATCCTAATTTATGTCATATACTAACATACCAAATCTCGTTTTTTTTATCTAAAAAAATAAAAAAGTTATAGGGGTGAGCCACTTTTGAGACGCACCCGGTATATATTTTGAGTTTTTTGACTAGCTCCCCGACTTTCCCGAATCCTGGATCCGCCCCTAGGTTTAAGTGTCTATAATTTAAAAAGTCAAAGCTTAATTGATCATAGAACTTTTTGATCATAGTACATTATTATTTGATCAACCTGCTTTTTTCCTCTGGCACTTCAATTGTCAAACTAATTTTCGAGTTCTAATTTAACTAATCCATTTTACACTTCTTACAATGTTAAAAAAACAAAACATATTTATCATTTTAATTATTTCATAAAAAGTAAAAATAACTAACAATCAAAAAATTGTTATCAAAAAAAAATAAAAAATAGAAATTTAAGCACAGAAAATGAATCTGTTTTAAAGCACATAATATTAAAATTATTGTCCAGAAAAAATACATTTTCATATAGGGATAATTTCTCCTCAGTTGTAATAATTAATTTAGTTTACAAAATCCAGAATAATTTAGTAAATTATAAAAGTAAGTAAGCTTTTAATTTAAAAATAAAATATTTGAATTTGCAATTTCAGCTAATTACAACATCACATATACAATGTACCGGGTGCGTCTCAAAAGTGGCTCACCCCTAAAACTTTTTTATTTTTTGAGATAAAAAATCGAGATTTGGTAGGTATATTAATATATGACATAAATTAGGATTAATTGACGTATTCATTATGTTTTCTGTCACTTGCTGTTTCACCGCAAATGACTACAACTTTTGATTTTTAAATGGTACCCTCGGTGTTTTGTTGCTTTATTCGATAGAAAATGACACTCTGAATAGATTGACATATCATATGTCAACTTTTAACATTTTCAAATATGGTTTATTTGAAATTGCAACATGCGATTCATAACGACAATTTGACTCGAAATACCAAATGTGTGATAGTGTGATACCAAATTATTCGTAAAAAAATGCTTTTTCCAAATATGATAATGAGTAATGAGCCACCCTCGTTCCATTTGAAAAAATTGAGATATTATTAAACGATTTGGGCATCTATTACAAAGCCAGGATAAGACACTAAAAACATTAGACGGTGAAATTTATTTTTCCAAGGCCTCCTTGATTAAAAACTAGTGTTTTTAACACAGCCATGGCACTCTAGATGGAGATTTAAAAATCAATTTTGTCAAAAAAATGTCAAAAGTTGACGTATGATATGTCATTCTATTCAGAATGAAATTTTCTATCGAATAAAGTAAAAAAATACCGACGGTGCCATTTAAAAATCAAAAGTTGTAGTCGTTTCCGGTGAAACAGGAACTAACCAAAAACAATTGAATACGTCAATCAATCCTAATTCATGTCATATATTAACATACCAAATCTCGTTTTTTTATCTGATAAAATAAAAAAGTTATAGGGGTGAGCCACTTTTGAGACGCACACTAGAGAAAAAATTATTCAAAATGCGTGATCTAATTATGCTTATGTATAATAAATTTGTCCTAATGTATATTTTGTCGTAAAATGAAGCAATCTCTTAAAACTTACGTAATTTAGCACATTCACTTAAAATGCAACAACTGGCCAAGACACCAACGAAGACGGTCAACCGCATTCTATTCATCATAATAGGAATTATTGACAAGCGCCGAGTAACTCTGTATCTAAAAAGTTTCGATATTTTTCAAACGTTTGCGGGAATTCGCCTTCTTTTAAATACACTTTAAATTCTCCCCTCCCTCAAAGCAAAAGCAACCACATAAAAGTACCAAAATCTCATGGAGAAAAATACAACCAGGTATTGGTCAAGTTCAGTGTCAAGGACAATATATACAAAAAGTAAACAAAATTTGTGTTCAGATTAATTATATTGTTTACCCGTCACTTATTTTCTTTGATTTTAATATACACTAATCAACAAGAATAATAGACACCTTAAAATTTTCATGTACAGGGGGGCTCGAATTCGACGCTCATCATTGGGATTTCGGAGACCGTAAGAGATACAGGATCGATTAAATGGAGGCAAAGTTGCGCAATTTTATGCTCAAAAAAATGCCGTATTGCATTTTGAAAAATTCCGAATACTTCCGAATATATTCGAAAAAAAAACGGAATTTTCAATTTTGTTTTCTATTGTTTCCTGGCTTTATTTGTTAAGACAACTTAAAATAAAAAAACACATTTTCATGGCCACTTTTTCTGCTCTATAACTCTGTGTGATTAAATATTGACTCTAACCTTTCGGCATCTGGCGACCATCATCAACTTAATTTTTTTAAATATAGACCTGATTTTTTTTTCAATTTAATTAAATCCTTTCATCATTCTTAAAACACTATTATATAGTCACTTTAATATTTGCCGACGTTTCGTACAGAAAATTCCATCACCAGAATATTTTATGCAAAAAAAAAATAAAAAATAAAAATGCAATACGGCATTTTATTGAGCATCAAATTGCGCAACTTTTTCTCCATTTAACCGATCCTGTATCTCTTAGGGTTTCCGAAACCCCAATGATGAGCGTCGAATTCGAGCCACCCTGTACAGGGTGTTCCATTTTCATGTGTTTTATGGGTAAAGATACAATGATGCAGTTTTCACAACGCTGTGCTACTTTTTTATAAATCTAAAGATGCTATGCACGTTTTCCTAGCCCTATTAGTTTCTGTAATACAATTTTTCATTTTTTCGACACCTCTCAAACAATGTTTAATAACTTTAAAAAATAGCATCAAAAAGTAATGGTAATTGAAAAATCTAAAAATTGTTGGTGGCAAGTTTATTTAGCTCCTAAAAATTAACCAAGGCATGTGTTGACATGGGGCAAGAAAACAAAATGCTCAGGAGACATGGTTATGACTAAAAAATAGTGTTTTAGGAAAGTTTACTCACGAAATTATTGCACAGGATGTTTTAAAATTAGAGTAAAAAATAGCCCTTCAATCAACCATGTATAATAAGCGAAATACTAAAGTTTATAAAAAACTGAATTTACGAATTAAAGTTTATATTTTTATATACAGGGTGGTCCAAACTGTATTCCGGAAACTTCGGCAGCATATTCTGCAGATTAAAATAAGTAAAAAAGTTTGTATAAATGTATATCCTAAAATGCTTAGTTTCGGAGATACAGGGTGTAGAAGTTTCATTTTTATTTCGATTTTTTCCAAATAATTTCTGAAATAACGTCAATATTTGGATGAAAATTGGTATCTGGGTGTTTTTTGACATGAAAAATTTGATTTTAATGCCAAATGAATCCTACTTTTAGAGGGCGCCACCTGCATATTTTTTAACTGGTTTGAAAACTAATAACTTTTCGTCCGTACCTGTATAAAACTAAAGAGTAAAAAAATATGCATTTACGACGATTTTTACGTAAGAAAGGTCTCTTAGTAAAAATCGCTACGACTAATGGTTCTCGAGATATTTCGAATCTAAATTATCAATACCTGTCATCATTGACATAAATTAAACATGTTGACTAAATAGTTATTATACTGAAATCATAAATTTGAAATGTTTTTGTGCTAAAAGTTCAACAGAAACTATTTTATCATAATTTTTTGCAGAAAAATTTATGATTAATTTAAAAAAATAAAAATTTCCCAAAAATGTATTTTATTTCAGTGAAATATCTATCTAACTCAATGTGTTTATTTTTCGGCAATAATGACATGTATTGACTATTTCCATTTTAAATATCTTAAGAACGGTTGCTCGGAGCGATTTTTACAAAGAGATATTTTTTACGTAAAAAGTCACAGAGATGTATATTTTTTCGCTCGGTAGTTTTATACAGGTAACGACAAAAAGTTATTACGCTTTAAAATAGTTAAAACACATGTAGGTGGCGCCCTCTACTAGTAAGAATCATATTGACATCAAAATCATATTCCTCATGACAAAAAACTACCACAAACACCAATTTTCATCGAAATATTGACGTTATTTCAGAAATAATTTGGAAAAAATCGAAATAAAAATGAAACTTCTACACCCTGTATCTCCGAAACTAAGCATTTTAGGATATACATTTATACAAACTTTTTTACTTATTTTAATCTGCAGAATATGCTGCCGAAGTTTCCGGAATACAGTTCGGACCACCCTGTATTTAAGTATATCCAGTTTGCTAAGAAATTCATAAAAATAAAGCTAAAAATAAAAAAATATGACATTTTAAATTTGATAAAAAAAAATTCTGTTGCGTTTTTTTGCAGCTATGTGTAGATATTTCATTTTTTATATACATATAACATAGTATTTAGGTTTAAACAAAATATTTTTCAATTTGCCACATTATATGTATTTATACATGTTAATATCTCTAGTACTACTTTTAGTACTTAATTACTTGACTGACTGGATAATTTCGCAAGCCCGAAAATCACTCGAAATTTCAAATCGATTTGAAAGTCAAGGGCAATACCCAGTACTACGTGAGAAAACAAGAAAAACTCTTCTATTGAATTTTAATGTGTTTCGTTCATTCCTTTCGGTATTTTTTCCAATAGTTTAGTGAAATTAAATGACAGAAAAAAGGCATTTTCATGACTTTTTAAAGTGTCTCACGTCTCACCCCTATAACTTTTTTATTTTTTTCTTTTTAAATGGCACCACCCGTATTTTTTTTACTTTATTCGATAGAAAATGACACTCTGAATATAATGACATATCATATGCCAACTTTTGACATTTTCGCTTAAAACAAAATTGTAATTTAAATTTCAATCTAGAGTGCCATGGCTATGTTAAAACACTAATTTTAAATCAAGGAGCCTTGGAAAAATAGGTTTATCGTCTAATGTTTTTCGTGTCTTTTGTCCTGGCCAGTTAAAAGATGTCCAAATCGTATTTTAATCATATCTCAATTTTTTCAAATGGAACGAGGGTGGCTTATTAGCATATTTGGAAAAAGCATTTTCTTACGAAGAATTTGGTACCACACATTTGGTATTTCGAGTCAAATTGTCGTTCTGAACCGTATGTTAGAATTTGAAAAGTCGATATATGAATATTCTTTTAAATAAAGTAAAATAATACCGAGGGTGTTTAAAAGTCAAAAGTTGTAGTAATTTCCGGTAAAACAGGAAGTGACCAAAATCAACTGAATACGTCAATCAATCCTAATTTATGTCACATACTAACCTACCAAATCTCGTTTTTTATCTGAAAAAATAGAAAAGTTATAGGGGTGAGCCGCTTCTGAAACACATCCGGTATACTAGGTGCACATAGAAATCCCCAGTTATATAAAACATAATCTCATCATAACATTTTCAAAATTTCTGTTTTATCGAAAAACATAAAAATTTATAAAGCACTAAATTTAAAAGTTAGTTCTACAGTAAAAGGCTAGTAGCTCCTAGTACCTATCTGTTAGGTTAGGTTCAATATAGGTATTTAATTTTGCATTCCGATTATTTTAGATGATTGATAAAAAACTAAATTAAATGTAAATAAGAATCTTAAATTGTTTTCTATAAGCTAAGATAATTTCCGTAAACAGAAAACCCACGTCCATAGTTCGTTCTGCCGACGTTTATGAAAATTTAAATTTAAAAGCAATATAATTTTATGGGTAAATAAATAGAAAAATAATTTATAATGGTAATTATTATGTATATGTTACGGCTAAAATGGATACTTGGCTGGTTTTCAAACTAACCAGCTATTTTGCAAAAAGCCCTTTTATTTTGTTGGTTAAGTACCTATTAATTTGCGGTAGTGGTTGTGCGGTTTGTTTGCAAAATAGCTGGCTAGCTAACATATAAATTACTAAAATAGCTAACATATATATTACTGTAGTTCATAACATTGCCGCAAATAAAAAAATACAGGGTGGCGCATCTCCTACGACGCGGAGGCTCCAAAGAAACCTTTATATAGAAGCCAAAGACAACTACAGCTTTCAATTGACCTACATATTATGCTTCCAAAATTTAGTTTCGACAGAGACAATCGAATACGATACAAAGTGTAATGTTTACGTATCTACACTACCAATTATTGGTAGTGCAGAAACTAATTACTGGTAGATACCAATTATTGGTAATTGGTAGTGCAGATACGTAAACATTACACTTACGTGAACTAAAAGGAAGCACGTAATACTACAAATCGATGGAATTTTTTCCACCGATTTGTAGTATTACGACTTTTTTAATTTAATTGGGCTAATAGATCTTCACTAATTCTTAAACTATTATGTAAAAAATATACTATAAATGTTTTAAGAAAAATGCACTCTTATATTCTACAGGGTCCGGCAATAGTGCGTCGGGCATCTGTAGCTCCTAGAATAAAAAACTTGGAAATTTTGTTTAAGTGCAAACCTAAGTTATGTACTAGCATGTATTTCAGGAAAATATTTTAATTTCTATACGGTGGCTCAAAAAAGTATGAGTGGATAGGGATGATTTTTTTTAAATAGAATACCCTGTATATTATTGCATTTTTGGCTTCATTTCAGATCAATTTACATAATCCTAAGACATGCGTAAATATATTTCGATAATTTCAGAGATATTAATAAATAAATAAAAATTATATATTTTTTAGCCTTTCTTAAAAAAAATATTAATAATACAAGAACTGTCCTGAAATCAAAACTATATTAGATATTTACTTTAGATGGTCTGTACTTACTTTGCTATAAATATGGAAATCGTAAATCATACAGG